GCCCGCTGAGCAGCGCGGCCCGGCGGCTCTGTCAGCGCCGGAGTTGGGATGACCTGTGGGAAGAAGAGAGCCCGAGGGGCCTGGCTGTCCCGAAATTGAAGGGGAAATTTAATTTATTACAATTGATTTCCCACGTATTTCCTCATCCCAGCCTGCTGAGCCTGGCAGTCCCTGCGGTCGCTTGAAAACTGGTGATACCCTGACGGCCCCCGACGGAGATTGAGCCTGGCTGGGACGAGGGGACCCCCGGGCTGCTGTTCGAAGGCCTTTTGATCCTCCTCTTTGTTTTTGGTAATTCCCGATGCCCGGGAGGTCTTCTGCTACTGGGGCCTTTGTTTGAAGCTTCCGTGGCGGCTGTGGTTAAGCTGCTCGGAGCTTGCCGAGCTCGCAGCTGTCTCTTGCGAGAGCTTCGTTGGCATGGTGGGAGTTCAGTATCGCTGATACCTCACAGGCAGGCTGACCGGGAAAGCGTGGAAGTCCTCAGGGCTGCCCGCGTGTAGGGAGGTTGTGAAAGAGCAAAACCAGCTTGAAGTAACTGGTCGGTGGAGTTTAAAACTTACATTCCAGTCTGAACTTGCTTAACTTTAGTACTGCGACCTTGATGCTGCTTTCTGCAGAAGATAGCAGAGGAAATAAGCCTTTTTCCAGTTTTACAGTGCCCTCTTTTCAATTCGTGTTGCAGAGCAGTAGGAAGAACATTATTATTGACATAATATATATGTAATATATAATATTACTTCTGTACTACAATATATAATTAATAATATTACTAGATACACTGATAGTATAAAAGAACAAAAAGAAAATTGCGATGTCTGCATCTGTTGTTATGCTTCTGATTTTATTTCTAATTTGACAGTAAACACTTTAGTATGGGTGTGTACAGCTGATGATTTGGTGTCCTTAGTTTTTGAGGTTTCACAGCCTACAAGCTACTGGTAAAGAAATAATGCATAACAAAAGCTTTTTCTTAAAGAGTTTTTGTTAGTGAGGGTTTTTCTGTTGGTCCTGTGTAACAGTAGATGTTTAGATAAAATGTTAGTTCATTTCCCATTCTTACCTGATTGTTGCAAAGAAAAAAAATATTCACGTGAAGCACTTTCTCTAATTTGTGCCAATATATGGTGTCTCTGACAGGAATTTAAAGGTGCGGCATCATGGTTATGAAAGCTACAGTAGAAGATGATGATTCAGGATGGGAACTCGGTATGCCTGACAAGATGGAAAAGAGTAATACCAGCTGGATAGATATAACCCAGGATTTTGAAGAAGCTTGTAGAGGTGAGTTGTAATCTTTTCATTCTGAGAAAACTTAGCATCCTTAGGAGGCCTAAGCATAGTTCTTTGAGCTTTTTTGAGCAATAGTTTTGACCCAGATTCAAGCTTCAGGTGAATGAGCTACATTGATTCTGTGGTAATTCTGAGGTTTGAATTATCATGAGCCACCACACTTTGCTTCCTCTTCCAGATTACATAAATAGCTCTTTAATTAAAGTTTTTTCATCTTATGCCTTTTCATGTCTGCTTTTTTTCCTTTGCAAAGATTTCTTCCTGTCTCTTCTGCCAAGCAAAAGTGTCATTCCTGCATGCAGAGTCAACACTATTTCTTTCTTGTATATTTTTGGACCTCCAGTGTCCAATAATTCATTTAGTTCATCAGTGCATCATGTTTCATCTTTGAAACAAGTTAAGTTTTTGAACTGATGCAACACATCTCAGTAATGGGGAAGCAGTTGCTTCCATTTAAACTGTGCTTTTATTACTATCAGGTACTACTGCTAGTTTACAGTTTTTTCAACTGATTTTATGGTGACACTAGGGAAAAATAAATATGAAACTGCATCTTACCACACAGAATATTACAGAGTGATAAACACAATTTCTGTATATTCTCTATATTACTCTAAATTACTTTTAAATAATTATTTATATTGCTTATATCTGTGTGCTCGTCAAATATATCTAAAGACTCCTTTAAAAGTTACAAGGAAAGGCAAGATTTTCAGTAGTCTCCCCTGGAAAAGACTAAGGCACCTGAATAAAGGAGCAGAGGAAACAGTTGTATTCCAGGCTATTCAGATGCTACTATTTCACAGAATAATCATTACAGGATGATTTGGGTTGAAAGGGACCTTAAAGACCATCTTGTATTAACTCCCCTGCCATGAATAGGGACATCTTTCATGAGCCTATGTTGCTCGAAGCTGTATCCAGCCTGGCTTTTAATAGAACTTGTCCCAGAGATGAGGGACCCACAACTTCTATGGGCAACCTATTCCATTGATTTACCACCCTCACAGTACATAATTTCTTCCCTATATCTGATCTAAATCTCTTTTAGTTTGACAGCGTTTCCCCTTGTCTCATCAGTACATGCCCTTGTAAAAAATCCCTCTCCAGCTCTTTTCTAGCCTTCCTTTATGAACTAGAAGGATGCTAGATATTCTCCATAAACCCTTTTCTTCTCCAGGCTGAGTAGCTCCAACTCTTTCAGCCTGTCTTCACAGGAAAGGTGCTTTAGCCTTCCATTCATTTTTGTTAACTGCTGCTGAACTTGCACCAACAGTTCCACGTCCTTCCTGTGCCAGGACCCCAGAGCTGGATGCAGGGTTCCAGGTGGGGTCTCACGAGAGCAGAGCAGAGGGGCAGAATCCCTTCCCTTTATCTGCTGCCCACACTGTTTCTGATGCAGCCCAGAATATCAGCTTTTTGGGCTGTGAGTGCACTGTGTGCTTAGTAATTCTAAAACTTCATTAACTACTAGAATAACAGAGAGATAAGGACACACTGTAAACCACTAGTCTTTTTAGTCTCTCAGTCTTGAAAGTGCTTTGTAAGTAAAAGCATTTTAGTCATTTTAGTAATAAAGCATTATTTTAGCATTTTAGTAGTAAAAGCATTAGTGTCATGGGTTGACCTGGGCCAGATGCCAGGCACCCACCAAAGCTGCTCACTCCACTCCCTCTGCAGCTGGACAGAGTAGAAAAAATTCAGTGAAGGTTCATTGTTTGAGATAAGGACTGGGAGAGATCACTCACTAAATCCTGTCATGGGAAAAACAGGCTTAACTTAGAGATACGAATAACTCTCTAATATCACCTCTCCCTCCTTCCAGCTCTGCCTCCTACCCCAGCAGCACAGGGAGGCAGGGAATGGGGGTCATGGTCAGTTCATCACCCAGGGCTTCTCCCACTGCTCAGGGCGGGGAGATGTTTCCCTGCTGCACTGTGGGGTCCCTCCCACGGGAGCCAGTTCTGCGTGAACTTCTCCAGTGTGAGTCCACTCTGCAAACTGCTGCAGTGTGAGTCCATCCCATGGGCAGCAGTCCTCCCAAAACTGCTGCAGCCTGGGTCACTCTTTTACAGGGTACAAGTCCTTCAAGGACAGGCTGCTCCAGCATGGGGCCTCCCTTGGGTTCACAGATTCCTTTGTGCATCCACCTATTCCAGCGTGTGTCTCCTCCATGGGCTGCAGGTGGATCTCTGCATCCCCATGGACCTCCCTGGGCTGCAGGGGCACAGCTGCCTCACCATGGGCTGTGCCAGGGGCTGAGGGGGAATCTCAGCTCTGGTGTTTGGAGCACCTCCTCCTTCTCCTTCTGCACTGACCTTGGTGCCTGCAGGGCTTTTCTTCTCCCATATTCTCACCTGGCTCTTCTCCATCTGCTATTAAAACTGTGCAATGTTTTTGTTTGTTTTTCTTTCCTCTTAAATCTGTTACCACAGAGGTGTTGTTGTTTCTGAATGGCCCAGCAGCATGTCCATCTCTGGAGCCACCAGGGATTGGTTCTGCTGCACATGCAAGAAGCTACTTGCAAAAACTGTCCCGGTATCCACCCCACAACAAGCTACCAAACCCAGGCCATGCAAACTCAATGCAAGTATAAATGCCTGATTTGCTTCCTGCAGCTTATTCTCTTGTGGCATAAGGCAGTTTGGTGTGTGACAAGGCTGCTCTGGAAAAGTTGTGCTAGAATGATTGTAATTTTTCATTTTGTCCCGTTCTTTTGTAGAACTGAAGTTAGGAGAATTGCTTCATGACAAGCTGTAAGTATGTGTGTGGGGTGGTTCTGGCTTTTAGATAAGATTACTGCTTACATGTTAATGTTATCTAATAATTAAGCTTTCTTAGACTTTAAGTAAGGTATTTCAAGTATATAGAACATAATACATTCTTTGCAGTGTGTATATGCTGCACATGTATGAATGCTGAACATATCTGATGCTCTAAGTATAACGTTATATTTTTCAACGTGGTTGAAGTTGTGTTTCAGAAGTTCATAGCACATCTTATGATCTATGGTGATTACATTACTGCACTGCTTTATGGGATATACTGTTATGAGAAAAGGCCAGAAGAACTTTAAACTTGATTGCCTCAAACATCACTATCAAGTATTTGATAAACAATCCGTATGCTTTAATGCAACTTAAGTAACATGCTAAAGCGGAAAGTGAGAACTCTACACATTGAAAGCATATTTCACCAAGAAGCAAGTGGTGAAGGCTTGCTGAATTTATTAAAGAAAGATGAATTTAATTTAAATATTTTAAAGATTAAATTCTTTTTCTTAGTGAAGGTGTTCACCTGAGTAGAAGAAAGTTATATTTGAAACTAATATCTCAGAAAACAGATGCTCACTGTTAAACGAAAACCGGCTTAAAAGTGTGCACAGGGATGTCACCGGCTATTTACTTAGTTGAATCAAAGCACATTTTCAGGTGTCATTTTATACATAAGAGCATTTCAGAGCAAATACAGCACGTACACTTTTCAGACTTTAGATATGCTACATGCAATAAACTTTTTGTATAATAAAGACTGTTGCGGGAGTTCTGATGGATGTCATTCTAAAGTGAAGCACTATATCCCTTCATATGTAGGCAAGGCTTCTTCTGGGGTGGATCTTTTGCAAGCTTTTATGCCCTGACTACAAGTGACATGTTGTCACATGCTGTGGGCTTTTGTTTTTTGTATCAGTTTTCTCAACATGCCCATTTTAAACAAGGCTAGTATATTCAATATATATTAGTCTATATCATGTATATTATCATTAGTGCGTGGGGGATGTACCTTACTTGGTTTTTTGGGGTGTGGTGTAATAAAGAACACCTTGTTCAGTTAATATCAGTCTATGATTTTACATGATGTTTAAAAAGATGCTATGAATTTTATAGAAACAAGTGTGCAAAGCTACAGTAGCAGGATATTTCACTCAGGAATGTTCTTATCCTTAGAGAAAGGCTAATAATTTTCTTTTACTTTTAGCCATCTGTTTTCCCATAAACTTGTTGAGGGATCCTTAACTTCCTGAAAACCATGATCTCTGAAGATCAGGACTAATGTTCACATACCTTATTGCCTGTGGTCAGAATACAGTGTACTTTGTTTGTCAACCTATGCTCTTTTTCATTAGTCTGTGAAGACTGTTTTGTATAAAATAATTACATTCAGCACATTTTTTTATTTGTGTTCTTAGTTTCGGTCTTTTTGAAGCCATGTCTGCCATTGAAATGATGGATCCTAAGATGGATGCTGGTATGATTGGAAACCAAGTTAACAGAAAGGTTCTTAACTTTGAGCAAGCTATTAAGGTTTGTGTGAACTTCCTGGGTTTGCCTACACTGTCTGTAAAAATATACAGTTTTGTCAAATTACAGTTAAGCACAATACAGCATAATTAGTGTTTTCAATCTTCTCTTGAAATTTATGTGGGGTTTTTTTCCTTTTGGATAATGAAGAAAAAAATAGCTTGCGATGTTTACTTTTTCTGTTACCTGCATTACCACAATGATACTAACTCTTCTAGTGAAAAGTACTGTGAAATTATTGGGTATTGACACTTCAAGTAAATCTATTTCCAGCATTGTTTTGCAAATTACTCTGTGCTTCCCCAAAATGTGTCTTTTATATGAAGATAAGTATGATATGAAAGGTTAGCTTCCATTTAACCTGAATGGAAACCAACTTCTTAAAAAAGCTGGAAATTAACACTATATCATTCTTTGAGTTTATCAGCATTGAGAAGAACCTGGATAACTTACCAATGTTGATAGTAATGATTAACTTTTTATTTATGATTAAGGTAAATTGGAGGGCAGGGTTGAAAGACTTGGTATTATTGTTGAAAAAGTAATGAACTCAGAGGGAAAGGTATTTTTTTACAGTGAACATTTGGAATGGAGTCAGAGAACTCCATAAAACACTGGCTAAGTCATGTAGAATGTATGCAGGATTGCATACACTGGGCAAATTAAATGATCAAAGTTGTAGCCTTTTTAGTGTTGACCTTTAAGGCAGTAAAACACTTTCCAATAAAAAACTTTTTCCAGTTAAAAAAGCAGTCTTCAAAGAATTGGTCCTGCATATTATTCCTTGTTCAATTTTTATTATGATTATATTGTTTTGTGATTTAAGTGTTAGCAGTTAACTGGCTTTAAGCTTTTCTTGGCTAGTAATACATAAGAACTGTTACTTCAGCATTCTCTTTGGGTAGTTTTATGTTTGGTCAGTGATGGGAACACAGAGTTTTAAAGAATTTGAGACATATTGTGAAGCTGGTTGGTAAAGCTAGTCGTATACAATTACTCTGAAGTCTTGAAAAAATTTTAATTTCCTTTTTGGCTTTGGTACAAATAAGTTGTATTTTGCCTGTATGCTTCCATAGTATTTAGGGTCTTTGTTGTTTTGTTTGTTTGTTTTTGAAGGATGGCACCATTAAAATAAAGGATCTCACTTCACCTGAACTGGTAGGAATAATGGACACGTGTTTTTGTTGTTTGGTAAGCATTTTTCTGTTCCTGTGGTTAGATGTTTTTTCATTCTAAATATAATCCTTTAATGCATCTTAAAAAATGAAAAAACCAGCAGAACTCAAAAAAAGATTGATCAAGCAAAAAATACCTACATATATTTTACTTTCCATTTAGTTATTTTCACTGTCCATTATGAAAGGCTTAATTTTAATTTTTATTTTTTTTTACTACAAGAAATATGGAAGATAGCTGGTAGTACCTTAAAACCTTTAAAAGGTTTCATAGTTTCTGGTTTTATAAATGTATGTTTTCTGATTTCCTGCTGTGTATTGATGTTTGACTCTGTTGAAAGCTGGGTGTGCAGTAACTGGTAGCACTCTGTTGCTCCTTTCTGTACAACCAGAATTGAGTGAGCTTACAGAAGCATTTTGAAGAAAGAAAATAAATCCATTTAGAAGAAATAAGTTGACTATCAGTTCCTTATTAATTGCAATTTTTTTTGTGTGTATGCTTTAATTTCCTCAGTAAATTATACTCATTATTTTCCATTACTCTTTAAAATTACATCAATAATATTTTTTAAAACATTTCCAATCAGTTTAGTCAGAAAGACGTGTGAAGATCATAATATATCTAGTAAGTGTAACATCATTTGTTTTCTACTTCTGGTCCCCAAAAGGGACAGTGGTGATATTAAAAATATGGTTATACTTTATTTTTTTCTATTTCAAGATAGAAATTTAAGTTACTGAGTCTTTCCCTGTAGCTTAAAGAAACATGAAAGTGGTAGAGAGAGGGGGTTGTGACAAGAAGCTCTATGTTGTAAAGGAGAGAGAACATGAAGAACATTAGTGACTTGTCTCGTAGTCATCTGCATTTTCCATTCACTATTTAAGCAGAGAAGGTTTATGAATGTGAAGGTATCTTAACATAATGACATGTCTAAATCACAGGGTTTAGGCCTGAACTTAATAGAAGAGGTTTATCCAACACAATAGTTCTAGGCTTGAAACACCTTCACTTGCCCATTTTTGGTACTTGGAAGGTTGTCTTGATAAGGAGTTTCTTGACGAGTCTTTGAAGCACAGTAAAATGGAAAAAGAATGGATCTATGAAAATGAGGACTTGGCTGTCATGAGTAAACTATTTAATTTCTTTTTCTCTAGATAACATGGTTAGAAGGACATTCCTTGGCACAGACAGTATTCACTTGCCTTTATATTCATAATCCAGACTTCATAGAAGATCCTGCTATGAAGGCTTTTGCTCTTGGAATCCTAAAAATCTGTGATATTGCCAGAGAAAAGGTTAACAAAGCAGCTGTTTTTGAGGAGGTATGTGTTTCCCATCTCCTGTGGGGTTAACTATGCAATATTATACCGTAATGCAAGTAAAACAATATATTAGTGACATTTGTTAGTGTTTGATTCAAGGTTACTGTTGGAATAGCAGTTCATCATCCTAAAAGTATTAGACTGGATACCTTAAAAATGCAGTTTTCCCCAATGAAGGTGTTTCATGCTGTCTTCTGTATTTTCCTTGAATATTGGAGCCACATAAATATTTTGCTCAAGAAGCAGTGCAAGTTTTGTGGTTAACCATTTGAAATCCTTTTCAGTTGTGATGTTTTTCCAGTTGAATTTATTTCTTTTTCTGTGTTAGATAGTCATGGTTGTCTTTTGTCCAGAATGTCCATCTGTCTATGGGATCTGAGTTCTGTTTTTGTGTTCAGAGCAATCTCTGTTTCCTCTGAGCATGGACAAGTTGCTCTTGGTGACTGTTATCTAAAATGGATCAAATACTACTTTGCAGATACAGTTCTTAGTTCTATAGTAACATTTATAGTTTTATGGTTCTATAGTAACATTTTGGTAGGGTGTCACTTGATGAAAATATGAATGGCATATTGGTATTAAGGATTTATGCAGAAAATAATTACCTGAGGCTGGATTTGGGTGGGAAGGTCATTCAGTGTATTCATTCTGAGTGTATTCATCTGTGTAGGATGTCTGGACTTTATACTTGATGGAATTAAACAAGCACACCCCCAACCACTCCTACAAAAGAGAAAAACTAGCAAAAAGACCCAAAACCTAATAAGAAAACAACTCCCAAAAAACCCAAATGAAAAAGAAAACCTCAAACGTCAATCCGAAAATGTAACTACAACTTTTATATTTCATTACATACTCCTTCCTTGATCTTTTTTTTTAGGAAGATTTTCAGTCAATGACTTATGGATTTAAAATGGCCAACAGTGTGACAGATCTTAGAGTTACAGGTACAGTTTCTGCTTCCTTTGTATCTGTCCAGCAGTCTCTTTCTCTTTTGATCATGTGATTACTTTCAGACACATCTGATGAATTGCTGCGAGTCTCAGCTATTAAGTTTTTTATTTGTCTTGTGGAAATTGCTGACTTGGGCAAAAGATCATTTTTGACCTTATGACTTGGTAAAAATCAGATTATTTTTCCTTGGAAAAAAGGTTCAGTTTTCTTGTTAAGTGCCTGAGAAACAGAAGAAGTGCTTTTAGTTGTGCCAGTGAAGTGGCTAGGCATGAGCTTATAGTGGTATATATACAGACCACTGGAAAGTGCATTGCTCGAGTGCTACTTTTTTGCCTCACAATTTGCTGTCCTCTAAACAGGCTGCTTTAGGAAAAAAAAAAGCAATATAGTAGTTCTAGAGCTATGGATACATACCTTATTACATACATACATAAGTATGTATGTTATTTTTTGATGCACAATTTTTTATATGTACTTGAGCTTTTCACTGATTTATTTTTGAAAAGTTTGTGCACACTTTAGCTTTGCATCAGTTGGCCTATATTCTGATTTTTGATTGTTCCAAGACATCCCCACCATTCCTCACAAGATTATTTTTTGTCTAGTCTTTGGCTAATGGATATGCAAAGGACTTTTAAGTTTATTTTCCCCTCAAAACATCTTTTCCTCTGAGTGGTGTAGGTGTGCCTAGGCTTCTCAGCTTTTAATCATGCTGTGATTTTTTCCAGGTATGCTAAAAGATGTAGAAGATGACTTGCAAAGACGAGTGAAGGTACTGTTTTTGTGTGTGTCTTGTCAATTACATTTCAGGTGTACTTAACATAGGTTTGGGGCAGGGAGCTGGTTTATGAGGAACAAAGGAGATTTGTGTCATTATGGTGGGGTTTTTGAAGAACTGCTGCAGTGGTTTCTGTAACATGCTTTTAGTTTGCCATCTAACTAAATCTTCAGATTTTATTGGTAAATTCTTTATTAGTTGCTTCACTAGTAGTAGTAGCTGGAATCATGATGTAGAAGATAACGCTGTGTTGGTTTACAGAAAGTAGGTATTTAACTTTGAGATTTTATGCAGGGATACTGTGTAGTGTTAAAGAAGTTGCTTAATTTTCCTTTACCACGGCTTACAATGTATGGTGTTCATGCATTTTCCTTGCTCATTTGCAGAATTTACTTAGATAGATCTTATTACTATAGGAGAGTCATTCAAGTACCTGGATTATATATTAAGAAATTTTGAATTTGAAAACTGTTTTTTTGGGTTATTTAACATGTGGATGTTTTAGAGAAGGCAAAGGGATTTTATCAGTAGCTTCCCTTTGCAATTTTTCGTAAATTAATTGACATTTCTTTACTTTGCAGAGCACCAGAAGTCGACAAGGAGAAGAGAGAGATCCAGAAGTTGAACTTGAAGTAATTAATTGTTTGCTTTTTTCCTGGATTTCATGGATGTAGATGAGATATTTAAATATGGTATAATGACACCCATGCATATAAGAAGCAGCCAGGAAGTGTGACCATCCAGGAGCATGAGGAAGAGCTGGCAAACAGCAGGACATGCCAGTCAGGGTGCACCAAGGCATTTTGTGTAGCAGTTTGTGCAGGGAGGGCAGGAGTACTGTGGGAGTTCCAGGCACCACAGTACAACAAAGCTATTAAGGTACTGGAGCATGTCCGAAGAAGGGCCTTGAGGGGAAGCTGTATGAGTAGTAGCTGAGGTCATTTGGTCTGTTCAGCCTGGAGGAGACTGAGGGGAGACCTCATTGCTTTCTCGTGATGGGAAGAGGAGGGGCAGGCACTGATACTGGTCTCTTCTCTGTGGTGACCAGTGACAGGACTTGAGGGAAAAGCCTGAAGCTGTGTCATGGGATGTTAAGGTTGGATATTAGAAAAAGAGTTTTCACCTAGAGAGTGCTTGGGCACTGGAACAGTTTACCCAGGGACATGGTCACGGCACCAAAACTCTCTGAGTCCAGGAAAATTTGGACAATACTCAAGCACATGGTATGACACTTGGGGTGGTCATGTGCAGGGCCAGGAGTTGGACTGGATGATCCTTCTGGGTCCATTCCAACACAGGATATTCTGTGGTTCTGTGATCTAATACCTATTGCTTAGTAATTAGCAGTATAATTTTATTACAGCATCAACAATGTTTAGCTGTCTTCAGCAGAGTGAAGTTTACCCGCGTCTTACTGACTGTCCTAATAGCTTTTACAAAAAAAGAGGTACGTTCATTTGGTGTTTGTGTTTGCATTGGGATCCTGTGAAATCCCCATTTTTCATTCTTCAAAATCAGGCAATTACTGTGTAGATTCAGGAGATTTGAATTGATGTGGATGGAGGTAAAGCTGTGAATAAATCCTTACAGTGGCAAATAATCAGTTTTTGTTTGAAGTTGGAAACACGGGTAAGGCTAGTAGCTGACATTATTATGGCCTTGCAGAAAGACAGAATATTCATTACACAACATTTGAAAATATATATGGATTTGTAATTACTCTTTTCACACACATGAGCATAACTTGCCTGAGTTCAGTCTCCTCCTGTGGAATTATCTGACATTGGGCAGTGTTTTGTCCAAGAACTGTTAACTTTTCCTTCCGTGTGATACTGAATTCATACCTAGACATCTTTGGTCTGAGAAGAGGAATCTAATTGGATTCCATAGCTGGTTTTTTTTTTCCATTAGCCTGTTTCTTAAATGTAAGGTTTCCTGATTGCTGAGAGGGTAAGAAGCCTCATGTTATATGGCAAAGGGACAGAACTACATGGCCCCCAAGCAGACTCTCATGTATTGTATACAAGACTTTCAGTTGTAATTATTGTAAAGTCTTATGCAGCAAAATATAAAGCATTGAATTTATGTACAAATACATAAAATACAAAGAATGCTACCCCACAAAAATGTTGGGTTGTTTGGGTTATTTTCAGAATTGGTTATATAAGAATATTAGAATCTTAATGCTTTTCTTTTTTTCATACTAATATTAATTAGATAGTCAAGATGTATTGGTTTGTAATGTTAATAATTTTTTCCTGCCATTCAGACAAGTGCAGTTGCAGAAGCTCAGAAACTAATGACTCAGGCAGCTGACTTGCTCTCTGCTATACACAATTCACTGCATCATGGTATGCAGGCACAGAATGATACCACTAAAGGAGGTACGTATAAAATTACTCCACTTTTTCCTTTTCCTGGATATGATCCCTTCATAAATGTAAATACTTTGTGTATTTAAAAAAAGTTGAAATCACTTTTTGAAATCACTTACTATGAACTAAAATACTTGTTATGCAAGTTGTTACAGATTTGCATTGTTTGATTTTAAATTTATTTTACCAGGTGGTGGTTCTCCCTAAAGCAATACTGTCATTTCAAAGTCAGAGATAATGTGAACTTTGGATTATGTGCATTGCACTTAGAATCAGTGTATATGCCATTTTAAAATGGGAATGATACTTCGTTGTTCATATAGGTGGATGTTGAGGTGTTGAGGACTTGGGTTTTTTAAAGAGTAATTATTGTATTAATTGGGTTGTTGGAGTCTCAGGAAGTTAACTGTCATTTAATTAATTTTGTCTGATTGAATAATTTCTGCTATTATTAGAGGGTTCTGAAAACACAACTTATATGTAGTTTTTCTCTGTCTCTCTCGCCTCCTCCTTAAGATCATCCTATTATGATGGGGTTTGAGCCACTTGTTAATCAGAGATTGCTGCCTCCAACTTTCCCTCGATATGCAAAAATTATTAAAAGGGAAGAGATGGTCAATTATTTTTCCAAACTAATAGACCGAATAAAAACTGTATGTGAAGTAGTCAACTTAACTAACTTGCACTGTATACTGGTAAGCATGAATATTTCTTATTTATTGGCCGAAAAGTAAGATCTGAAAATGTGACTTGCAAAAAAAATCATTCCATATATGCATGCTCTTGCTCACTGAAGAGAAAACTGAGCAATACATATGTATTTGGTGTTTTTCACTATTAGGTACAATTTCAAAGTTTATTATCCCGCCTGATAGTTACCACTTTTCTTCTTTTGATAAAGACCTTTTCTCCTGTCAAACCTCTCACTTTTCCTGCAATTCATTAAATAATTATGCATCTTAGTGGCAAAAGCCAAACAGGTTTCTTTGGTTGAAGAGCTGTGTCTGCAGCATCAGAACATAATTCTTTGCTATATGCCTGTTTGGTCTTTTTTTTTGCAAATTTTTTAAGTAGTATTCTGCACATGTGCCTATAACATGTGAAAGCACTAAATAGGTGTTTAAGCATGCAGTTCCCTAAATAGGCATAAAGTTAAGCACCTGCTTATATTCTTACCTGAATAATTGATGTTACTCTTAGTTACTGCCTACATCTATTAGAAGAAAGTTAAATGCTTGAAATATTTTTTGGTATCCATGCATTCACTGACTGAAAAGAGATACAGTTACATCAAACTTCTTGTCTTCCTATTTCCTGTTAACTAATTAAAGAAGTGCATGAAGCATCTGGTACCAGTTAAACCTTACCTGGGTTTAAATCAATTTTTTAAAATCAATTCTTAATTTTGTTCAATACCTGGTGTAGTTACATCATGACCTTAACAATCTCATAGTAATTTTTTTCTGTACTATCATCTTTCTAGTTGTTGTATTTGAAAATTTAGAAACCTTTTTGTTAAGTAGCAAGTCATTGCAGAAAACCTTCATAATCTGTTCTGTTCAAGCTATTCACTGTCTCTTTCTTACAAGTTGTATAAGCTATGCTATGTTTGTGTACGCTTTTAAACAAAATATAGGTGTATTTACACAGTTGTATATATTTGTTTAGGAAAGATACAAGTGTGTGTGTAAAATTGATTTGGTGTATATTTATACATCCATAAATTGGCATATAAACCTGATTTGTCTTTTTTTCTTTTCTTACATATACATTAGGACTTTTTCTGTGAGTTTAGTGAGCAATCACCATGTGTTCTTTCAAGATCCTTGTTACAGGCAAGTCCTAATTATGTCTATTAATGCAATACTTCTGTATTCATTATGAATGAATTCCTGTTATTAAGTATTTCAATAATTTGCATATAAGTTAATAATATTTAAGTGGTAAAAAATGTTCTGGTGATACTTAAGTATTAAATATTATGGAAGAAATGCTTTGCTACGAGGATGATGCATTGGAACAGGTTTCCCAGAGAAGCTGTGGATGCTCCACCAAGTCTTCAAGGCCAGGGGGCTTACAACTAGATGGTCTTTAAGGTCCATTCCACCTTAAACCACTCTGCGATACTATATGTGGAGGCTTATGTTCTAATCTATTTTTTAAAATAGTTTTTAAATACTGTTTCTTTGATCTTTTAGTACATGCTAATTAAAACAGAAAGCATCCAATTATTTTTTTTTCTCTACCATAAAGCTGTGCCTGTACACATATTTTTATGCTGCTTTCCATCTGCTGTGCCATTTTGGGGCTGGTATTTGTATTCATCTCCCTGTTTGGACAGAACTTAATGTATAGACTGCTTCTATTGCTACAACAGTAAAAATGATGGTTGGTGCATAACAGGCTGTTTCTTCTTACTGCTTCTCTTACTTGAAAGTGCATTATGCATTCTTTAATTCTGAATGAATATTCCTTCTAGGAGTTTTTGATTTTAATATGGGGCCCCTAGATGCCAGAACTTCTTTGTATTTGATCCCTGTTAAACCATGCGTAGAGCCAATGGACTATAACTATGGACAAATAAAATGTGTTCATAGCATGTGTGTTCTCACCTTCCACTACATGTGTTTTTGTAATCCCTGTGGGTGTCTGACAGCAGACTTTTTTCTTCAGCTGCTGTAGAACCATATAAGAAAGGGACACAGCACTCATGGAGGGAGGTTAAATGAGTGTCGGACATGATTGATGTAAACAATAGCATCCAGAGGGATTGAAAAACATCAGCAGTAGTCTGGAGATATACCCTTATTTGCCTCCAGAGAAGGCAAATGTTTTACACTAATCTTCAGAAGTGTCTGATTTATCATCTTCAAAGTCCAAGAAGTAAAACAATTTTGCATGCACTCTATTATGCAAGTAATAGAGCTGTATTTGGTGTCCTTGGAATTCCACAGAAGTGTCAGATCTCAGTATTTCTGAGTCTTTGACCTTGGATCTAGTTGAACCATTTTAATTATTAAAGCAATCTTACAAGTTTCTTTTATTTAAAAGCTACTGCCAAAGCTTCCTATCAGTAATTCTAGAGCATTACTTAAAACATGTTTCTAAAAACACATCTTTACTTTTAGACAACTTTCCTAGTAGATAACAAGAAGGTGTTTGGTACTCACCTCATGCAAGACATGGTTAAAGATGCCTTAAGGTCTTTCGTCAGTCCTCCAGTACTTTCTCCGAAGTAAGTGTATCTTGAGTGTACTTGTATGTGCTTACATGTCTGATAAAATAATCTCTGCTTACAAGAGCAGTGACAAATGTACAAAAAACATATGTTTTGTACTTAGTGCTTATGTATGAAAGAGTCAGTTGCTGTTGCTGCACTCATATTTCTTTTGTTGTTTTGTGCTGCATAGACTGGTGACATTTATAAAAAATGTGTTTGTACATGGATATTTCCTTTTTAGGTGTTGTCTTTATAATAACCACCAGGCAAAAGACTACATTGATTCCTTTGTCACACATTGTGTTCGGGTAAGTTCATTCCAATTACAGCATGTATGTGTGTGAGCACTTGGCAGATTTGCATACATTTGAAAATGAGACCAGTTGTTTTACATACCTGGCATGAAGGCAAAATTGAAGAAGTTGGCCATCTTAAATTGGTGATGCCTTTTAAAAAGACAGTGTAATTACTGCTGGTTTCATCCTGCTTCAAATTTTTATTTAGCATTTCACTTTTTAAGAAATCTACATCTACTATCTCTTTATAGAGTAGTTTCATGTCACAAATGCATAGCACTAATAAAATAATTTTTTCATTTTGTCCAGTTTCAGTTTTTCAATAATTGTTTTAAAAGATTCTACTGTTCAATGTGGCACAATGAAAACCTTAAGAAAATCAGAATTTTTTAGGTTGGAAAAGACCTTCAAGCTCATTGAGTCCAAACCAGCACTGCCAAGTCCATCACTAAACCATACCCCCAAGTGCCATGACTACACATCCTTTAAATACTTCAGAGATGGTGACTCAACCACTTTCCTGAGAAGCAAGCATTGGTTCCAACGCTTGACAAACTTCTTTGTGAAGAAATTTTTCTTAATATTCAGTATAAACCTCCCCTGGCACAACTTGAGGCCATTTCCTCTTGTCCTGTCACTTAACAGAGGAGATGAGCCCCACCTGGCTGCATCTGCCTTTCACATGGTTGTAGAGAGTGAGTGATAAGGTCTCCCCCATGCCTCCTTTTCTCCAGCCTAAAGACCTCCAGCTCCCTCAGCCACTCCTCACAGGATTTGTGCTCCAGATCCTTCCCTAGCTCCATTGCCCTGCTGTGGACATGCTCCAGCCCCTCGATGTCTGTCTTCTTGTGAGGGGCCCAGAAATCATATGGCCCCACTATAAGGAGTACAGAGAGACAACCACTGCTCCTGCTGGACACAGTGTTCCCGATACAGGCCAGGATGCCATCAGCCACCGTAACCACCTGGGCACATGGATTTAGGCATAAGAACTACCTCTTTTGCCCCAAGCATGTTGCTCTGGTAACCTTCCTAAAGGATGCTGACCCAATCTCACATCGACTTGTGTACAGAGAAATTGGCTCTTGCATCACTCCATAGAATTTGCTTTCCAGCTAACTTGCTATTTGTAGAGAGTATTAATGAACCCACCTCCTAATATACATGTATAAACCAGGTGTCTAGACATCATAGTACTTCTCCTGTATTCTCAAAGTTGCACTGATAATTTAAAATTACACTTTGCTTCTTTCAGCCATTCTGTAGTCTGATTCAAATCCATGGACACAACAGAGCTCGTCAGAGAGATAAACTGGGTCACATCCTTGAGGAATTTGCCACACTACAGGATGAGGTAATGTCCTAGGCAGCAGGCCAGCAAAGTTTCTTTCCAGGTATATTACTATGCTGAGTGAAGCACAGTACTAAATTCTAAATGAATGATGCAAGATCCTTAAGACAAGGACTTTGAAAATTTAGCACAATAAATTGTTAGGATGCATCCAGAAACTTTGTGCTAGATGTGTTGAACAAAAACATACTACATTTTTTAAGATTAACTTTGTCCAATAAGTAGACTTAGGGAAAACCTGTTGGGATGTAATTTAATAGTAACTGCACAGCTTTTAGTCTCAATCCTGCTTGTGATTGTCAGTCTGCAAGAGGTAACCAGGGAGAGGTCCAGAAGGCACGCTTACAAGACACCTTTGAAAATTCAGCCTTACACCTACATAAGATGTAAAGTGCAAAATTTTATAATGATTAAAAAGAAAGTAAAAGAATAACTGTTTAAAATATGAGCTCCAACTGATTTTCTCAAGGATGGGGAGAGATGAGGAGAAAAAAATTATTTTCTTTTGCTAGAAACATGTTTCTTCAACAGTGAGAGCCAGATAAAATATTTCCCAAGATGTATATGGCAAGGAGAACAATTGAGGAACTTGGAATTGGAGGGAGATTTTGTGTGCTCTAGCTTTTTTCAAAATGGTTTGTTTTGCAGTATTGTAGCTGAGGCACTGTTTTTTTAGTTTTGTAGCAGGTTGTATAGATTGTTCTGTTTGGGTTTACTGATGATATTCCATTATTATGTCTTCCATACTACTTGCTTCTTAAGACAAAATTTGTCTTAGCAGTATTTTAGTTACTCTGGTGAAACACTGTGTTTCTTGCATATAAAGCTTGTAAGTTTATTTTTTCAATGCAGCTAGGTTTTTTAAAAAAAAGAGAAGTGATTATTGCTGATATAGAACAACAGCGTGTAATGGGTTCTGATTTTGCACACATGTGACTGCTAATGATCTATATACAAATACATTTTAAAATTACAAATTACCTATGTAATGTTCTTGCTGTATTACAGTATAGAATATTTTTGTTCTGTGCAGCAGAATTTACTTTCCAGTTTTCTGACAGTTCTAGACTTATTTCCATCTTGTAATCTGGAGCATAAATTTACCAACAATTTGTTACGATTTGGTTAAGATTTATTTCTGGCTTGGGATACTGTTTCAGTCATACTTTTCCTCCTCTTTGAGGTCTTTTTTTTTTTTTTTTTAACAGGCGGAGAAAGTAGATGCAGCGCTTCATAGCATGTTACTGAAGCAGGAACCACAAAGGCAACATTTGGCTTGCTTGGGCACCTGGGTCCTATATCATAACCTTCGTATTATGATACAGTATCTTCTCAGTGGCTTCGAGTTAGAACTTTACAGTATGCATGAATATTACTACATCTATTGGTACGAAAATGCTTTATTGACAGTTCTTCTAGGAGGGATGCACCCAGAGAGCTATAATTACACATACTTGAAGGAGGGACTTGAAATACAGTTTTATGATTTCGAGCTTGATCAACATTTTGTTTAGTTTACTTATTTATAATACTACAAGTGGAGAAAAATATCCATCAGTCTCTAGTTTTTTAGACTTTACTAAACAGTGTATTTTTCTTTCCTGAAATAGTAATTCTCACTCATCTACTGACAATAAAAGTGTGTTGATTTTTGTGATCAAGAGCAAGCAGGAGAAAAGCAATTTCCTTTATTCTTTTCTGCCTTCGTAGTATCAGGATCAATATTCTTATTGATCTCTAGTATTCTGGAAAAGGTCTGCAAAGTTTTAAGTCATAACTGAAATCTGAAAGTTGACTAGCTAAAATTAACTTCTTATTTGGGGTATATTTGAAAAGACATATTCCACCTTTAGTGAAAATCATCACATTATTTGGAGACATAATACTTTTATTTTTCCACTTTCTTTTATATTATTTTTTTTTCATCGTTAATGGCTTGTGCCAAAAGATAATTTAATTCTTTTTTAACTACCAAGAGATTCCTATGTAAGACATAAGCCTTCTTACTGAAAGACTAAAAACAATTCGAATGACACAAACTTCAATGCATTGTGTTTCTATGTTGTTTCAACAGTGGATTAAATGAGAATATTAATTTATCAGAAGTTACCAGAAGATGGCAATATTCTTCAAGTATAATAATAATCAATAAGTAACGCCAACTTTTGCATGAGACAGTATTTTTTTTACCTACCCATATTTCCCTCTGCCATTTTAATAAAACCACTCTTAGTTGGAATTGTCATGTCAATTGCTTTCTTACTTAAGTAAAGAAAAAAAGAAGCAGTTTCTGAAAGGTAATGTGCAAATGAAACTCAAATTTCTCAGTAATTTTTCTTCTGATTACAACTTTTTATAACTATTACTACATTTTAATTGTGCTCCAAATAGAAATTTTTTTTTCTATTCTCTTTTCCCTTATTCCTTTTGATTTGAAGTCAGTTAAGATATTTATTGGACTTGCTTCCACTTCCTAAAAAATGTTCTTAAAGTTGTCTCTTTAACTCTGAAAGAGCTGCATGTGGATATTGTGTGTTTAAGCACAGCTTTTTAATGCTTGAAAAAGCCAGTAGTTATCATGTTTCTCAGAATAACAAGTCGTAACAAAAGCAGAAAAGATATTAACATAATATCTTTTAAAAAAACCACTTCATTTGATAGGGGAGTAGTTCTAGAAAAATGTGATCTCACCGGAGTTTTGAAATAAGAAGCTTGGACTTCATTTAGTAAATGTGTTAGAAGCTTGCATACCTTGAGCTGTTAGGGGTTGAATCTGAACCAGAACACAGATGTAGACTGATGTGTTGATTCCAGCCATGCAAAACAAAGAGCTTTCATGGCCCATAAACACTGTCGTTTGCTGGGACACATCCTTTACCTCTTGGAGCAAGTGGGTTGGTGCTCGGTGGGATGTGCGCAACACGAGTGCACGCTGCAGCCTGTAACAGCTCCGTACCACTTCTGTGCAGGTATCTCTCCGAGTTCCTCTATGCCTGGCTGATGTCAACACTGAGCCGTGCCGACAGCTCCCAAATGGCAGAGGAGAGGATAATGGAGGAACAACAAAAAGGCCGTAGTAGTAAGAAAACGAAGAAAAAGAAGAAAGGTACCTAGGTGTAGAGTGTTAACTCAAGACTTCTTTTTTTCCCCCCTTTTATTCAACCATGTAGAATTAAAATTCAAAATTTAAAGGGCCAACACTGATATGGGTAGGAAAAATATCCTAATGTTTATGAAGACTGAATGTGAAACTTTAAGAATTTCCTATTTATGAGGTTTTTTACTTTCAAATAGATCTTTTGGAGAAACATGAACTCATTTATATTCACATTTATATTCAGTTTCATCCATTGTGTTATGTGCTGGACCTTCTCATAGTTTATAATCCTTGCAGAATTATGCTTTTAGTGACTGTAACTAGATTCAATCACTAGACTTCTGCATATTTCTGTAATTTCTATTTGGCTTTAAAAGTTCTTAAAGTGTATTTCTTAATTTTACAATGGTGAATTTCCCTTTCTTTTCCTTGCCACCTTTTCAAGGGGAACAAACAATTGAACAGCTCAAGATCATATCAACTAAATTCCATTGTCTCTAGAAGTTCTGAAAATTACTAATGTACTTAAGGTGCCAAGTGTTGGGCAGTATGGCACTAATTAAACACTGGAAACTAAGGGGAAGCTTAAAAGAGGGATGTCAGGATTATTAGGATAAAAAGTGCTTTAACTTTTTAGCCCTAGAAGTCAAAAAGATCCTTGAACTAGGCCTCTTGTGTACAGACTGTAATTTTGAGGCTGTCGTTCAGTTTTATAGTGTCATGGGACTACCACTGACCAATTTATTTCATTGAGAGCAGAACACATTTGACTGGTGCGTCCTGAGGTCTTCTATGTAACCAGGAGCCAGGTCAGCAGAAATGTGTGTCTAGGCTTTGTATACTTCAGTTATATTAAAATATAATTGGGAGTTATGTGACTTGGTGGAAATTCTGAAGAATTCCTTTGACCGGAAATTAATATAGGTACATACATTGAATTTAAAAACGTATTTTTATGTAAAATTTGCAGTTCGCCCTCTCAGCAGAGAGATCACCATGAGTCAAGCATACCAAAATATGTGTGCTGGGATGTACAAGGTAACTTATTTGTGTTCTATTTGCTTAATTTATTTTGTAATAGTGATCCTGCATACATTGCATGCCTTCTTTCTTTGTAGTGGGACTGGAAATTAAGTTCAGGTTTTTAATTTTCTGGTAAATTCTCTACAGTTTTTCTGTTCTTCCAGTTATAGCTAAATCATAATTTTGATCTTCCTCACAGCAAAATATGACATAAAGCCAATATTTTTCACTGTATTTATCGTTTCCTTTTAGACAATGATCGCTTTTGACATGGATGGCAAAGTAAGAAAACCTAAGTTTGAACTGGATAGTGAACAAGTTCGATATGAGCACAGATTTGCTCCATTCAACAGTGTTATAACACCACCGCCAGTGCACTACCTGCAATTTAAAGTGAGTAATTTTCAAACGTGGTGCTGTCCATGCTTTTATACAAGTCATTTACTCACCTGATTTAAATATCATTGTCATAGTAAAAGGAGCCTCAAAGTTCAAATTGAAGCTATGTCATAATGCTGAGGACTTCTAGCTTTACTTTCGTGCAAGAAAGATATATATTGCATTGAAGTCTTTATAAACTTAATGTTTAGAAATTGATCTAATATGGCAGTTTAAGATGCTTCTGTTGATTTGCATGAATATAAAATTTCTTGGAAATCTATTAACAGATTCCTGGCTGTGGTTAATTATAGCAGCATATTTTTATTAGTGCAGCAAGCAAATGGAAAAATAAATAAGTTAGTTTTGAGTGGTGTTTAGAAGGGACTAATGGAGCCTTGGCTTCTCCAGTCTCCTGCTTGAAGTAGTTTTACAATTACCTGTGTCTTTGTCTGGTCAAATCCGAAAAAAAATCAAGGTTGGTGATTTTCCAACCTTTTTGGTTAAACCTGATCCAGTTACTATTTTTCTGATCCTTTAAGTCATAAAGCAATGGAGGTCTGCACTACTTTTTTTCCTAATGTCCAGTCTGAACTACCAAGCCACAACCTGTGGCCTCTCACATCGATTGTTTGCCATTACAAACAAGGAGCATTTATCTCCTTACAGCTTTGTAGTTGTCTTTTGGGTAGTTGTTGTCTGCTGTTACCCATTAGCATCCTTCCTATCTAACTGAAAATGTCCAGGTCCACTGACCTCTCCTTGTGGCTTATATGCTCTAGGCCCCAAACCATCTCCACTTCTCACCATCTTTCTTGAACTGAGTGGATCTAGCCATGGATGCAGTATTTCAGATAACAAAGCAAAAGGAATAACAGAACACAAATACTGAGTTCAGGATGATAACCTTCCTTAATATGCTCACCGTACTCCTGATTGTATACTCCCATATGAGGCTTGTCTGATTTGTAGAAAGAGCACCTTGTTGGCTCGTATTCATGTAGGTGTTTGCAGTACCCCTGGCTGCTCACCCAGCTAGTTATTAGTCTCACTTGTCTAGGGGTTAGTCTGAACTGAAACAGCCCTATTTTCTGTTCCAGTTACTCTCCCCAGTTTAATGTTATGAACTGTTGTAGTGGAAATTAAGGAATTATCATGGTTTTCTCTTTGTCATTAAAGGGTTATTTTTTAATGCCTAATCAAGAACAAAAAAACCTGGAAGAATCAAAATTACATAAAATGAAATTTCATACAGTTTCAGCATCTGACTTGCTGTAGCTTTAAGTAAACAATATACTTATTTTTTTTCTCTTATTTTTTCCCTGTAATTTCATACCCTGTTGTGTGCCACTATTAAAGCAAATGAATGGCAACTTGTTGAAGAGAGAGACTGTTTTATATAGATTATAAGAACTTCATTATGTTTTGTGGCACTGTAATAGTTGAGCATTGCGTGGTTGTTTGGCTTTTGCCATTTTAAATAAATGTTTTCAACTTCAATTTTGACTTTTAAAATAGTATTTAGTTGACATAACTCTTCTCTTGAATATAGTAATATGATAAAAACAATCTCCTGGCAATTTTTAATTCCAATTTCATACATTTTAATATGTATTTATGTATTTCTGTAACACACTAGGAAATGTCTGATTTAAATAAGTATAGCCCACCTCCTCAGTCATCAGATCTCTACATGGCAGCTAGCAAGCACTACCAGCAAGCTAAAATGATTCTTGAGAACATTCCAAATCCAGACAATGAGGTAAGACTGAAGTACTGGAAAAGGAGTATTTGCTCAAAATAAAGTATTTGTTTCCAGCTGGATCTCCCTGAGATCCAAAATGTACTTCATCAAAATGCTGAGCAAAGCTGAATGCTTTGATTAAGGAGTAGACAGTGGAGAGTGGTGGCATCTTGCACGGTGGTCTGTTTCAGTATATCAGCTAGCATAAAGCTGTGCTCACTGTCAAAAAAACCTCCCTCTGCTGAGAACGAAGAAGAGGACTGAGTCTGGCACTTGTTCCCTGGGGCAGTTTCCTTAGCACTGAGCTGTAAATGGGCAAGAATTTCTCCCTCTTCTTCCATAGCCTAAAACCTCAAGTGTCTGTGACTATACCTTGGAGCAAGGATGATGCTTCTTCTGCATCACGTCTAAGGAGGTTAAGAGTAGTTACAGGATTAGATCCTCCTTAGAATTTACAAATCACTTTCTCCTCTCTGGATCCTGGTGGTGCTCACAAGTGAGCTATTTATTTGAGGCCAAGAAACTTAAGAGGTAGTTCTGAGCAGATCCAGAGCACTTCCATGCAAAAAGCCACCTGTTTCATACATTAGTTCCTCTTACCATTGTGTTGCAATATTGAAGATTGGGTGCCTAGAGTCTAAATATACCTTTATTTTCGTGAGTGCCACAGAACTTGCCATAGTTCCCATGTTTTTTGTTCAAGAATTGTTAAAGCTGTGGTTTCTAAGGTCTGTTGAATTTTACAAAGAGTGACTATTAAAATAAATGCACCCTTCATTAAATTTAGTTGTTTAAGCTGTTGTACTTAAAAGCAAATCCAAAACAGTCTCATCTCTGTTAAACTGATCCTGTAAGACATCATGCTGTATTGCTAATAGTATGCCAACATTACAGTATTATCTTTGAAATAATTGTGAGGTCAAATGCTTTGACTTGAGGACTTTCTGTTTTGTGTTTAGGTCAATCGAATTCTAAAAGTTGCAAAACCCAATATTGTGGTCATGAAGCTGCTGGCTGGAGGCCACAAGAAAGACTCTAAGGTAAGGAAATGCCAGCTCAATTGAACATAAAATGTAGTAAAACATACATTAAGGTTGGATTCAATGATCTGGAGATTTCCCAGCCTGAATGGTCCATCTAATTCTATGCAAAGCTACCACAGATCTCTTAAGAGCCAAATGAGCATATTCAAGCTGTAGTTACTCTAAGAACAGGAAGAGTAGCTTAATTTATTTTTCCTCTGAAAATAATTTATTGTAGTTATCTAAATATGGAAAATTCTCACCTATAAATGTTTTGAGGAAAAGAAATTGGGAATGCATATGGGACAACATAGACTAATAATGGTATTGCAGGAACAAGCAGCTTGTGCGAACAAAGGTATGATAGTACTGGCTTCCACAAGGACTTATTTTTTTTCAATCTGTTGCTGTTTAATTTTTTTTCTGTCTGCAGGTTGTTCTCATTATGAGTATTAAATGCAGTAGTACTGCTGTCTAATGTTTAAAATATTTTCTTTATAGATTCCTCCAGAATTCGACTTCTCTCCTCATAAATACTTCCCAGTTGTGAAGCTTGTTTGAAGGACAAGAGATTTTTCTTAGGATACCTGAAGAATATCTGTGTGGCAAATACCAACTGTAGGAGAGGGAGCAACTAGTGCTGCACTTGGACTACGAGGGACGTCCAGGATAAAAGTACTGTTATGTGGAATATTTGTAGTCTGCTGCCTTTATGTGATTGAATGACAACTGCTGTTTTAAAGTGGTTTGTATAAATTTGTTGGATTTTTTGCGTGAAGCTGATTCTAATCAACTGTATTATTAAAGAATGTTGTATCTTAGTTGATATTATTACAGATTCTAATCAAAAATAATTTTTATTACTGAGTTCTGACAAAGTGATGGGCTAGGAACGGAATAAAAATCATGCAATAGAGCCTCATATCTGATGTGCACAGCTGAGCTACTGCAGTTCTGCATTTAACAAAGTCACCTGGAAAGATTTTGAGTTTCTATGTTTTTGCTTAATTGTATCAGAACTGCTCACTTTTCAAGCAGTGAAATGTTGGGGTTTTTTTCTCTCACCACATCCTTCAAGCTAAAATTCTCTTTTTAGAGACTGAGAGCTGATAAAAATTAGTCATTTAGCTATTGAGTGATTCATAGTTGGAATTTGTTCCTTTGTCTTTTTTTTCTCAAAATGCTGGAGAATCTACAGAGCAGACACTGCAGTAGTCAATAGCAATAGCACCAGACACTGAGGACTCTATTTACCAACTCTGCAACTTTGTTACAATCCTAGTATTTGCTCGTGCAAACAAGGGATTGCTGCATGTGCATGATCTTTATCCTCCATTTTTTGACTGCAATGGGGCCACTGGATCCTACTGTGTTTTGTAGTAATTTACAGGTAGATATCCAAAACAGGAGATGCCCCAAATCTATCCTTGCCTTCCTGGAATAGTTCTGCCTCCCAAGCTTTCGGATGTACAGTAACAGAAGTAAGCCTTTGTGTTGTAGCAAAAGAGCAACCTTTTGCTACAAGTAAGGAAAAAATGTGCAAAAAAGCAGACCTGGCCCTGGCTATGTCATACCTGGGCCATACAAGCAAATACTTTTGTGGACAGGACGACTCTTCATTTTGCTGTACAATAACTTCTGCCATAGGGATGGGCTTGTAACTCCATACTGACCATACAAGACATTTTTTGGTGTTAATCCTATCACCTAATTTTACTGTAGATTAATATCACTTCATCTTCCATCCCCTGAGCAGCAGCACTGCTGAGCTAGAACTTGAATACAATGAGTAACCTCTAAAGTGGAACACCCACTTGTCTTCCAACAATTTGCAGCTTCCTAAAATAAGCAGAAGTACTGTCATGGAGACATGTTTTTTCCAAATTGTGCTAAGGAGATGGTATATTACATTACATGTTTGCTTATCATCATGATTAACATACTTGAATGCTTCCATATAGCTGCCAAAGGAATAAAAAGCCTGGAAATATGTAGGTGTAAAATGGCACAGGGCATTCATTTGGCATCTTGGGAAAGATTTTGTGACTATTTACATCTTAAAAATCCTGAACAACGTAACAGTATCTCAGGGACAGCCTTTGTTATTTTTCCAAAGTAAGCAGCAAGTAAAAAAGAAAGCAAATTACATGTGATTTGCAGAACCTAGAAAATAGCAATAATAATATTTCCCCTTTTCATTGCAACTAGAACTGGATGGATTGTGCAGAATGACAGCAGTATACTAGAGAAGATTACTTTTAAATGCTTACATAAAATGGTCAGGTTTAGTTGTAAAGAACACCAAACCAAAGTGCTAATATAACACCAAGATGGTTACAGAATACTAATGCCTCACACAACTAAAAACTTTAGTGAGAGACAACACTATGTACACGATGGTTCCAAATTAATCTCTTGTTCAACTAAGGGTCCTTTAATTCTAAAATTTTATACAGTAGACATACAGGCCTCTTGCTTACTAGAAATCTTATCACCTGAGTTAGATTGAAGCACTTGAAGTCATTGTGAATAAAACTGTAGTCCTTCATGCTTTTGAACATTGATCTTATGCAGGTTTTCAGACCCTTTGCCCTTAGAGGTTTACAAGTGTGCTTTGTCCAGAGGTGGTCATATTTATGGAGGACAACATCCAGTTGGCTAGAAGAAGCCCAAACATGTATAGAAGAATAGCCAAAACAATTAGTTTTAAAATAATTCTCTGGCAATATATTAATTACCATAAAGTGTTTGATTCTTTGGAATTTTTAACTTGATACTGGTAAAGCTATTCATTCAACTTGAATATAGTGTTTCACTGTCTATTTTTTACTGTTAGAATATATGCTTTTTAACAATCAATATTAAAATCCTGATAAATTAAAATCTCAGCTGCATAATTGTTTACAGATTAAGTCCTAGGAAATGCTCAGATGATGAGTAAATATTTTTATCCAAATTATGGGTAAACATTTTGATGTTAAAACATGTCATTATTTGCAAAAAAAATGCCAATTACCTGACTTTACCAATACTTGTCAGAACAGATGCTTACAAGCATTTGTTTTCCCTGCTGTCTTGACTGTAGTAACCCAGACCTGTTAGGTCTTACTTAAATGGTGAAAAACTGTTAGTGAACTGTTTCTGTGTTTAGGCTTAATAGGAATCATTTGACTTAAACTCTGGCCTTCATCTGATGATAACTAACACTCTTGTCATGCACAAAAGAGCCAGCCTTCCACTTGCATATTTAGATATCTTAAGGTACAGCAGCTATAAACTAGTACACTGAAAAATGACACACCAGAAAAGGAGTTAAAAAGTGAAGTGCTTTAACAGAAAGCAAAGACAAATTTGTGATTTCTTTATGGAATGCTGGTTGGCAAATTAGTCACAGCTGTTTGCTGCCATGCTGTCTCAACAGAGGTTGGTTCATACTCACAAAGAACGCTCCAAACATGGGTGTCGGTCATGGGATCAGACACAAATACAAAAATTTCTTCAAACCAGCTGGATATACATGGTGGTTGAACTGCAGTTAAAGGTGCCTTAGTGATAAGTAGAGGATATTTCTAAGTTTACAGCAAGTAAACTAGTCTTTAATTTACATTTAACAACTTACAGAAAAGAAAAAGACTGCAGAACGTTAACAAGATAATACATTGTGATTAACATAGGACTTCACAACAACTAAAGCTTCACCTTTGGAAGGCACTGCCATGTCTTGTAAATGCATTGTATGGTTACCTCTGTCAGAAGTCCAGGAGAGATTAGCCATGTTGAACAGCCGAGTTTGCTGTTGTACAAGGCAAGCATTTGCATGCCTCTGTTTCCACAGAAGATAGTGGCTGGGTGGAATGAACGGTAGTTGTAGTACCATTTCAGAGGGCTTCTGTCATGAAAAGTTTATGAATTTGAATTTTTACACTAAACTTGTGCAAGGTAGGGGTAACCAAACCAAACTGTAGCACTGACCTTGTGGAATCCAACAAAGCTTTCAGAAAAATCATCCTTGCTAATCTCTTTAACAAGAAGCTGCTATTGTCAGGATCCTTTTTGGGTTTTTTTTTAAACTTTGAAGCTAATCTATGAACTTAATTTAGAGGCCCAGGTACATATATCATTCTGCATAGTCTCTGAGGATTACAGTTGTGCTTTCTCAGTCTGTGTTGCAGTAAAAAGGTGCCAGAACAGGCACAAGAGTAGATTGCAGCATGGCCTGGTTTTCATACTTCCTGTGTTTTGTTATGGTAACACAGCTCCTTCCTAAATTCTTAAAACTAAGCTGGGGCTTTCCCTGCTGTGCATTGCTCAGAGGAGAGATCCATCTTTGGCAGAGGACTGCTCATCATCTACCACCAATCCACACACATACTACATACTGTAGTATGACTATACAAGATAGCAAACTTAAAAGTTACTACCTTTATTGCTTCCTTATTATATATTATTACATATTACAATTTTATAATTGATAGGAAGGAGAAAGTCATTGCACAGGTCAAACTCATTTGAAAAAAGGCCTCCAGAAATTTACCTCTTTTCCCCACTGCAACAGTACTAAAATGTCACAAGAAAATACTACTTTGTTTGGGCTCTTAGTCATGCCTTTAGAAGATAATCAAAACCTTCTGAGATCACTTTGCTTGGATCATTGCTGCATTTGGATGAAGAGGTGACTCAGTTGCATCATGAACTTCCTTTGTTCACGATTTCTGTCGTCCTTCACCATGATCAGGTAAGTGGTTCTTTGTATCTTCAGGGTTTTGAACTAATGAGGGGAAAAAAGGTAAAGAAATCTCTTTAAGAGGCAGAAGTTCTTCACAGAAAGTTCTAGCTAGAAAACAGCAGAAGAAATACTCTAAGTTAAATACTGTGTAGATACCACATCCCCCACTAAAGAGTAGGTTCAGTGGTGCTATACAGAAAATAGGTCACACTAGACATAAGGTAAAGTTCAAAAAACAAACAGAAATTAGTTAGGTATAGCTTGCTAAGGATATCTTGAAATATATGGTCTTAACATTTTCAGTGTGTGATATTTAGGTTAAAACTGGTGTTTTTTCTTTTTTACCATTTTCAATCCCTGCAAGTGCTGCTTGCTTGTCTGTTTCTGATTCAGCTTCATTCACATCTAAATTGTAATCAATATCCTTGTCCTGGTTCACTGCTTCATGTTCCTGTTTGTCTGGAAAAAAATTAAAATTAAGTAGTTTCATTCTATACCATAAGGTCGCCTGCACACAAAAAGAGTGGCTGTAAACATCTTCCACAGAATTACTTTGCTGCTGAACGAATTGCTGTTCTGAGTAGGTTTTTGTATTATTTTTCCTTTGAAGTGTTAATTTTCAGAGGAACTTTGGTTGTAAATCCTATCAAAATAACTAAATGGATGACAATCTTTTGGGATTTGGAAAGCATAGGAAAATCAGCTAGAGCTCTGATGAATATAAAGAGCATTACACAATTTCAGAATACATTAAAGGACAGCCCAAGTAAGGGCAAAACCTGAAGCCATTGCTAAATACCATTTCTTGTTTTAGCTTTTCCAGCGAGTGGAATGCTATTATAGTGCAAGGTGTTTTATGATGTGCTACGTTGTCACAAAAATACTTTTCTCCTAGAAGAGATTTTCTTCACCCAGTCATTAACATCTCTCAAGCAACATTTATTAACTATCATAAGATTTCAGATAGAGGACTCAGACAAAAATGGAAACTTTTTTGATTTCCAAACTACTATCCTTATTTTTCAAATAATCAACCAGAAAAAAAGGTAACAGCTGAGAGGTGTAAGCAAATCTCACTTAAGATGGATCACAGACTCTGTTCTAAATGTTCTTAAGATAAGCCTTCCAGTTAGTAAGTGGCTGAGAAAGAGGCTTGAAAATTGTAAGCCTTATGTCATTCATGTTCAGACCACATCAAATAGATTTTTATAGTTACAGACCTAAAGGTCTGAAAATTCAGAAGTGGCTCTTCTTGAAAGAGGATGGATGCCCAGACTACTGAAGAAGTCTTTCTACCTTAGCTCCTTTGGCTGCAAGAAATCCATGCAGTAAATCTGAACAATAAAGCCTTAAGAATATCCTTCTAGCCTTTATAGCCAAGAAATGCAGACCTTTGAAACTGAGCTTGCTTGCGGTGCATGGCAGAGATTTTTTCCTTGCACTAATTGTTGGATGATTTTTTTAATCTTTCAGCTATTTATTTCCATTAAAATGAAAGCATTTTAGGTAACTTGTAATTACACCTCTTCGGGGTATAGCCTGCTCTGGCCAGCATCTTCTTGGAATAATTTGAAAAATATTGTTTTAGCAATGCAGATGAGATTATTTATCCCTGCCAAGTTAATAACAATGTTTATACTGAGACTTACAATTCTAAGGATGCATTTACTAGAAAAACAAACAGCATTTTTTGTGGGCATCAATTCCTGCTCTGACTGCTATAAGGCTTCCTTTTGAATACTTTGGGCCACTGAGACCAAATCCCTCAAGACAGACAAACGTCTAGAGATTGGTCAGGTCTAGAAACGGAATCAATACTCTGCTGCTCAGTGCTCTTGAGATGTGTAGTTCAGGGTCACTTGACAGATGCCAGAAACTGGCAAAACTTTACAGTATCTGATCCATGTTTTTGAAGACTCACAACAATAAACTTCAGATACCTGAAGCCTGAATTAACAGCTTTACTCATAGTAGCTTATTTTGAAATAGGAATAGCTAGTATTCACACACTGACATTGTAAAAAGACTAACTACAAAACATCCATGCATAAATAACCCTCTGCTCATCAGTGCTTGGGATGATTAACATCTCATCCTTTTCAGATGCACCATGTTCTTTTAAAGCCCCAATACTGAAAAAGGGGGAAAATTTCCCTAAACACTGTAGAGCCAATGGAGAGCCAGTAGAGCTGTTACAGGGATGCAGAGGCACTCAGACTGGCAGCTTCATATTGCATAATCAGAAGCCTCCATCTTAACTCATGGTCTGCACGTGATTGCTCAGGACACCTTCCACATCACGCTAACCTTTATGAAAACTTGTACTAAGCTTCCACCACTGCTGTAGAAATCATGCCCTATTCCACACTTTCATTTAATTTCTTTATTTTTCATTTTGTTACTGTTTTTAACAATACATGACATGCTACAAACCAGCCTGTCCAGGGTGCAAGTCCTGCTTATCGTCATAGTTTAGGAACTGTTCCCTCTCAACTTTTTCACTGGCATCCTGCTCTGCTGCTGGCTCTAACATATCTTGCCCAGCTACACGTTTCTCATCCTCAGCTTGACTTGGCTCCTTCTCTGACTCAGGCAGCACCTCCTCATGACCTGCAGCAGCCTTAAGTGACTCTTGAGGTTTTTCCAACTGACGAGAAAGCTGCTCCTCCTCTGCCTTAGGCTCCTGTTTTCTGATGTCAGTTAGGCTCTCTGTTCTTTCTGAAAACAACAAAAATGATTGCATGAAAAAAATAATGCATTCCAGTGTGGTACCAAGTTAAAAACCTTTAATAAATAATGCTTTATATTTCTCACTAAATTCTTTTCCTCTAAAAGAGTATCTTTCAATCACATCAGTTCCAGAGATAAGAGGAAGACAACTCATGTTTTTCCTACTGGGAACAGCTAAAGAAGGGAACTTTATTTTCTGTCAACAGATTCATGCTTCTACATCCTTAACATTTTGGTACATGTGGTTAATAAATTGGGCAAGTGAAACAGAGCAGTTTATATAAAAATTGTGGTGGTATGCATAGATAAGCATCAGGTTTCTGTGTAATACATCTTACTAGCAACAATAAAAATGATTTGATGTTCAAGAGTAGCTCAGGACAAAGTATCACATAGACAGATTTGCAAGTATCCAAGTCTGTTATTTTTAAACATGAAGAAAAAAGTGCAGGAGTGCTGTAATTTTTAGCTGACATTAACATATATATTTTTTTCTCATGTATCTGGCATTTTTAATTTGAAAAAAAATCATAAAATTTTCTCAATTAAACTATATTTAGACATCGTCTTTAATTACTAGCTCTCTAAAATGAGAGCTACATGCTCACAAGATTGTAATTTAAGATAGCATTTAGGAGTAATTAAATTTAAGAACGGAACTCCTATAAGATGCACTACTATGCAAAACAGACACACAAAGATACATCCATTCAAATTAGTAGTTTCTGAAGCTTAGTGCAAAATGGAGTCATTAGACTTAACTAACCTAAACCCAAGTGTATAATTTCTCTTTCTTGAGTTTTTCTCAATTACAACACATGGGAAGTATGGATGTGTTTGTTGTAAATCTACAACTACTCCACAGGTAGAAGGAGAACCAGGCTGAATATGTCAAACTTACAAAGAAAGCAAATTTTAAGTATGCTTGAAAATTATTCCTTCCAGAAGTTGGGTGTTTTCGCTATACTAAATGAAGAAAATGACTCCAGAATTGTAAATATTTATATTTTTCTTTATGTGCAACACACCTACTACAATAAAACTGAACCAAGAGAAACAAGTTTTCCTTCATCAGGAAACCTGATTAACATTCAGACTGTTGGTGTCACTTTTTTCATCTTAATCTGGTGTACAAAAATTCATTCTAAATGTCCACCAGTTGTTAGAGAGGCAAGGATTTCCATCTCACCTTTAGCCTGCATCAGATCTGTCTTTGTTACTGTAGGTACTGCTTTAGGAACATCTTCACTGTTTTTCTGCTGTTCCAAGTCAGCCTGCTTGAACCCGGTTTGCTTCAAGGCTGGCAGTTGAGTATTGACCTATAAAGTGAATGTATGCAGATAAGCGCTGGTCTATAAAACCACACCTGGATTTGGAAAGGGAAGTAGAATTCTGCATGGGAAAAAATCCTAACACACTTGGAAATATTTGGACTGAAATTTTTATTAGTGATAGAAGTACCATACAATTCTGAATATGCAGTAATGTTTCTAACAGCATAGTACATCAGGAGAATTTTAACATACCTTATTTAACTGCAGCTAATGACAAGATTACTGTCCTTGGTTACTCTTGGGAGTGTCACAGCAGTAACACCACACATTTATCAAGTGCTGTTCTGCTACTGTGTCAGGGTCAGCAGAGCAAATAAACAGATGCCATTTGCTATTAATAGTCTACAGGGCAGGAAAACTGAGTTTGGTCATCATTAGACTTCAGCTGAGTAAGGCTTGTATAGAACTGGTCTGTAACTATATTAAATGCAGGATTAAGAAAAGTGTAAATTAACCAACTAGAAAATAATATCTGTTCAACATGATGGAGCTTGCTTAAGAATGTATTGAATTCTGGTGCTAGACTGCTGTAAGTGTCTGACCCACTTAGATACTATGCCTAAGATGTACACTATCTTGAAGATCTTTAATTGGGCAATTAGAATTCTATGTATGGTCTCTCTGTATGTCAATGCTGGCATGATTGCCCACCTGAGACCCTCTTCCACCTCCTCCCCATCTCTGGATCTAATGGCTAGCAGTTCTGTGCTTGCCGCTGTCCCTGTCAGTGAATCCTCTCATCTATAGCATGGGGAACATGTTCAGGAATGCGATGTCACTACCTCTCTAGAAATCACTCCCAGACTATATGAATTAAGTATTTGGGGGTGTAGGTTTGTACTAGACCTCTTAAGAGAAACAGGACTCAACTTACGATTCACCATTAGTTCCAGGTGAAAATGAAAGATGATCAGTGAACTGAGGGATGTACCCAGGCACTTTCACATAGGTGAAATTAAGAACACACATCCTCTAGGCAGGGAATCTGGAGCTGCCTGAATGGTGATTCTCCAGTTACAGCACACTTCTGGAGTCAAATGGAAGTAGTGGAGGCTTGAAAAGATGGGGTGGCCATGATTCCCCTAACATAGCCCTATGGCTCATATGGTACCCCTTATAGCACCCAGGCTCTTCCTTTCATGGTCATTGATTAAGCAGTCAAGACCCTGCTTACCCTGATATATGGAGTTATTCTTTCCCCACTGCCATCTCAGAAACACTAAATCAGAGTGCAAAGCCAGGGCCAGTGAGGAAGGAGCAGAGCTAAGCTGTTTGCAGATGAATTTATGAGAATGATCAAAGAGAGACTTGAAATGAAAAAGAAAACAAAAAGATAAGCTCAGATACAGGATTACCTGCCTGCTTACTTCCATGGTCATTGGAAATTGGAATGCTCCCCCATTCATCGTCAACTTGCTGCATTACCACCATTGCTCTCCAGAATAACCCCGAAGGAGGTAGTTGTATTGAAGTGGGGGTCAGCTTCTCCCAGGTAACAAGAGACAATGGGAAATGGCCCCAAGTTGCATCAGAAGAGGTTTAGATTGGAGATTAGGAAAATTTTCTTCACTAAAAGGGTGGTCAGGCATTGGAACGGATTTCCAAGCAGAGGAATAACCATTCCTGGAAGTTTTCAGAAAGTGTGCCACAAAAATTTGGTACTTAGAGACATGTCTTAGTGGTGAACACAGCAATGCTGGATTAATGGCTGGACTTAGAGGGGGATCTTAGAGGTCTTTTCTGACCTTCATGGTGTTATGGTTCTGTAACTGGCAGAGAGCTGTGTCAATTCAATTCATGCAAACTTTGAATATGAAATACACATGGAGCCCATTTTGCTCTACACCAGTTTAGTGAAAAAAACTGGTGTAAAACAAATGGTTACAAAACCATTTGTTCTATGGGGATTTTTTTGTTGCATTTTTATTTTTTGTTTAATTTACAAAAAAAATTAAAATAAAAAAAAAGCCAAATATGCAGAGAAAGAACAAGCATATGCACATTTAGAGATATGAATCTCTTAATATCTGTTACAATATAAATGAACCGGCAATCTTATGGTATAGAAAGTCTCCGAGTTTAAAAGATTGTTTTCTGTTACCAGCTGTCATTGGTGGTGTCAAAGCTTCCCATGTATCTAAGGAGGGCAGTAAAACACTGTGTTGTCAAATATTCACTCAGATATTTGGAAAAATTACCTCAGAATGAAGTAGCTAAGTCACCAAGAACCCAGAGTTGTAGCATGACTACTTGGCTATTCTGAAAAGCATTTAATTTCCATGAAAGCCAGGCAGAACAAGATATCTTTTTGTCAGCACTGTGAAGTCCAGTATCAGCAGCTAATCTAGCATTAACTCTTACCAATGCTTGATAAGCAAATGTTACTGCAGAATATTTGGTTATTGCAGTAAAGATGTTCAAAACTCCATCTTCCTTCAATCAGTTATACAAAAATGCTGCATTTAAACATGGTTCTGTTTCATAAATAATTCAGCTCATTAAGATCACTCTCCACAATAGAAATCATCAGAAACTGAACATAAGATCATTTTTCACGTTTTATTGGGCATGAATTCTTCTGCAAAAATACTGAGCCTGGACTTAGTAGCAAGAAGTTACCTCTTTCTTATGCATGCAAAATCCTTTTACTTTTCATACATTTCTAGCTAACTAATTCTTAATGTCAATAGATTTGAAGAGTATTTGCTGATTTTTTTAAAGGTGAAGTAGTTGGATAAAAAAATAGTAATTGAATCTGTTGTATTTTCTTCAGCCAAGAAGTATACATCATTCTTGAAATTACAGAGCTCTAAAAAAAGCTGTTTAGTTATTAACCAACCAACACTCCATTTTATTTCTGGTTTAAGGCAGATTTTTTTTCTATTACAGAAGCACATGCATCTTAAAAATAGTAATTATTCCAGCTGAAAACACTGGACAAAAACATACATAGACTTTGTGAGGGTCATCTTGCACTAACGGTAACTAAGTATGCTTTTATAAATTAAATTCTTGGGTAAGTGAACAACTGAGAAAGTTACAGCTTGGCCAAAGAAGCACTGCCACAGACACCAGGGAACAGAAATTATTTAGGCAGTAGCTATATTATTTCATTCATCTGATACCATCCCATTTACATATACAACTGATAAGAGATGATCTGCCCTGCCTTACAGATAAACTGCTGTGAGTAAAAATTGCCTCCAACTATGCACCTTCATGCAGGAGACTGAAATTATCCTGCAGAGGGGCTTCAATCAAATTCTTCAGGTTCCTTCCAAGATGATTTACCTTTCAAACTGGAAATGGTAAAAAACAAAACCAAAAATGCAACGAACACACACATACAAACAAATAAACAAATAAAAGGAATCTAGTGGAAGTATTGTAATGAAAATCTGTTGCAAAGCCACACTAAAAATTAAGTTGACCACTTCTATATTAGAGTCTTCCGTAGATCAAACTTCTTCAACAAGATACATTTGACAAACTAATGTATCATCTCTAAATTATGAGGGTTCTATTTATTTACAATTATATATTTATTGTTTACTTTCTATCTACTTACTTGATACTGTTGATAAAAACTATTGACATGAGCTGTAACTTTTATTTTAAGCATCACTGGATGGTGCTGCCTGTTTCTAATGTTTCTTTCATGTTGCAGCTCTCACATAGTGCAGGTTCCCAGGATAAAAGGTTACACACTACAGTAGGTCTGTCTCCCCTGTTTTACACAGACGCAGACTGAAACCATTACCCATGGGAATCTCTGGGCAGACATTTCAGCTATTTTCCTCACACACTGTCACCTGGTTGTAAAACCAAGATTCATTCCTCACTGCCTTAACCTTTCCATTTCTGAAGTCATTAAACTTCGCTTTTTCCCAGCCAAAGATAAAAGGGTATATTCCACCAAACCCTTGCTGTCTTTGTAATAAGAGTAGGCCACCCAGGCAGAAGAAAAGGTCCCACTGCAGCCACATGTAAAAAGTTCTGACTTCTGAAACCTCTGTTTCTTCAGTAACCCTCAAGAAAGAGCTATTTTGGTACAGAAATAAACTGTGTGCCTTTTCACCCAAAAACTTGATTGTGTCTTTCCAGGGCTGTCCATACCAAGCTTAACCAATCAAATTCTATCCCTGACCAAATACCGCATCAATGAAGCGGGATCAATAATCCCGTGCCAAGACAACAGGATGAACTGAAATTCCCTTTCCTTGGGCTTTTCTGCCACCCTCTGCACCCCAGGAGAAAAATCCAGCTGACACACAGCCAACCTATTTGCCAAGCCTGCCCTACCCTAGTGAGCCTTCATTAGGTTCAGCAATGAATTTGTGGTTCTTTGGCTCAGAATATCCAACGGGAAACAGGTAAGACATTTGTTTATCCCTTTATTCCTACAGCAAAATCGTGACATAAAGGACTTCTGTGAAAATTCATAGCTGGTGAACCTTGGACAACAATATTCAGGGTTTGTTGCTTCTCTGCAGTGATTCACAATTTATCCTCATCCTTAACACACAAAGCAACTAAGTACTTAAACAAAAAGTCAAAAGGTATTGTTAACTAAAATTCAGTCTTGTAAATATTCCTTATTGGACCCCACATCACTTCCAGCATCATCTCTCATATTCTGCCCATCTCAGAGACACAGTGATTTGGAGTCTCCTACTGGACATCTCCTTGCTCTGCCCTTGAAATCACCCCACTTCCCACAGATCAGAAACATTCAACAAATACTGAAGTAGTGAAAAGTTTAATGAGATGGGATAATGCTAATAGGAGATGGCAGAAAGGTGAAGAAACACTTAAGAATTACAAAGAAAGTATTTTCAAAAAATTATCCAAACCATACCTGGCTATCTTCTGTGAAGTCTTTGCTTTCTTTGATTTGTGGTGCATCACCATTCTTTTTTGTAAGCTCATCTATCCTCTCTTCACATTGTTCTTTTAATTCTTTCATCTGGTTGATGCACTGTGACCTAAAAAAACATGAACAAGATGATTAATTCTCATCTAGACTCTTCTATAATGTACTTTTGTAAAAATTTCTAATTTTTTTTCCCCCATGTATCTATTTTTTCCTTATGATTTATTATTTCCTTCATTTTACTACCTGGGCTTAAATTTGAGAAGTCACAATGAAAAAATTAGGCATTGACCTAAGTCCCAAGGACAAATTCATAGTGCAGGCAAGTTCTACTGGAAGAAGATAAACTACTTTTATTTGACCAGCTCAACAACCTATATGATTTTTTAATTTGTGTCTTTGCTAACCAGTCAAGTCTAGTTAAGTTAAAATCAATTTTGACTGAAGCGTTTCTAGTATGATTACAGAAATTCATATCTTGATTTTAGCCAGAAAGAAGAAACAGAAAAGTACCATCTGAAGTAGAAAGTAGATGTAAATACTGTCAGCAACCTAAACACACTTCCTCAATATTTCAGCTGAGTGCAGTGCTGCAAGATGTAACAAAATATATGTTACAGAAATGGATTTCATTAGTAGCTACTGTAAGTTCTAAAAGGAATATATCCTAAACATGCTAGCACTCTGTATCTCTTACATACTTTTTATAGTTACACAGCTCCATTAGCACCTTAACCTTTGTGACAGCAGTTGTCTATCTGTGTCTGTGCAGCCTGTCTTTCCCTCACAGCTCCCTAACACCTAGCTTTGGTCTGCTGTTTGCCCAGTGTTTTTCCTAAAGCTGCCAGGGCAGTGTTCTCCCTTTTTCTGGATGTGCTGGGGATCCTGTGCAAAGCCCAGGAGTTCTGTAAATCTCAGTTTCCCAGGGCAAGTGGCTGCAGTCAGGGTAAGATTATCCTTTCTCTCCCAGTCTCTTCATAAGTCATTTTATAGCTTTTGATTTATACCAGAGGAAGAACAGGACCTAGTGAAAAACAAACCAAGATAAGCATTACCCCATAAGACACACACAGAAATCTTAGAAACTAGTCATCATATGACCACAAGTATGCTTTCACCCCATAAAGAAAAGGAGCAGCAGTTTGTTTGAGTGGATCCCAATGGCAAGTGCATCATACTAGGGGGAAATGTGGTGAAAAATCACTATTACTGCCAGTACCAACTGTCCTGGAGAGCCTGCCCAGGAAGAGAAGCCTCTTGACTGGGGACTACATTTTCTTTTCCATGCAGATCTAGCAGCAAAGAAGTTTGATGGGATCTTTAAACATTTTCTCCTTTCTCTCTCTCTCCCTTGTTTTTTCCACTCAAAGGTAATTTCCAGTTTTTACATATACAATCAGCTACAGACATTGCAAACACGTCTTTCTCGATTCAAAATCTTTTCCAGCAACCTTTGTGTAACAGCATGCTCAACATACTGCAAGTTTCTCCTTCCTAGTCACTAAGACTAAGAAGGGGGTTGAATTTCTCCTGATTCTGGCTCTGACTAGTGTTATTCTGAGTGTTAATACCCTCCATGCAACAGCAGCTGCTTCAGACAGGCACGTTGCAGTGTCTCAAGCTGCAAATAAGGTACTACGCAATCCAAAGGAGTTTTTGGGCTACGTGCACTTTACCACAGCAAGTGATTAATTTTTACTGCACTTTCATCCTTCTCCAGCCCTGCTTTCCAAAAGCAAAAAAACCCCTTCTGTAGTTCATTTCTAGAAAGTAAGTATGTAGTAAGAAAGAATGTAGTTCTTTCTAGAAAGAAAGAAGAGTAGCAGACAGATATGCTGACTAATTACCTTTATTACAATTTCCTGTAGACCAGGCAGCATTCTAAAGTCTGATTTGACAATGCTAATACCAAGAGTCACCAAAATAAGCCGTCCTTCAAACTCATGAACATCAGAGACAGTAAAAGAGCATAGGCTTGAGTTATGCTCACATTCACTATTTTCTAAGAAATAAAAGGACATATTAATTGTGTAATAGTTTGGAAGTTTGAAATAGATGCAGTACACAGACAACCTGAAGTCAGAGAAAGAGCATTTGTGAAAAGTTGCACTTTGATCCCACACTGCACATGAAAATAAAGTTCATTAACATCTGTGACAAACCCTCACAATTTTAAGCTTATTATCTGTAACAGAATTCCCCTCTTTTAAAGGAGATTTGAATACTCATGCTTACAACAACTTCTAGAGTACATGGACAGCCTTAGTTTCTCCACTTCATCCCATCACCCTGACACTTCAAATGTGCAAAACTAATGTTCTTAAATTCACGCATGTTTTCTCCTTTCTACATAGTTAATTCTGTGACACAAATCTTGCCTGCACACAAAAAAGGGAGCCCAAATAATATCCACCCCAGCTGCTCCCAGGCCCATCAAAGGAGCCACCAGCCCATCCAAGGATCATCTCCATGAGCCTAAAGGAGCACAGAGGCAAAAGGTGGAGAAGAGCCCAAACTACAAACCCCAAAGGAGGGACAGCCCATCTAGACCACTCCTACAGGAGGTTTTTCAGACACTCTCAGGAGAGAGGGATGAGGCTACCAGTATTGTGTGCACTCATGCTTCATATGTTCTGTGTTCTGCACACCTGGCCATGTACAGATGTGCTCTGCACGCACAGGAACAGATCTGTAGCCTCTGCCCTCCTGGGCTGCCGGATTTACCTATCCTCAGCATGAGGAACAGCGTACCTTTGCTCTCCAGGAGCATCTACCATCTCCTTTCAACCCTAATGAAAAAGGTTACTCCTGCAGTTACACTCTTGCATTTGTCAGGTCTGCAAAAATCACACTAATTATCAGACTTTTTACATGTAGCAATATTTCTAAAGATGCAGTTATGTAACAAACAAAACTCTTGGGAACAAAAATGCATTTGAATATTGCAATGTATTCAACAACAATTTTAAAAGGCTTCTGTTTCACTCTGGCTACTGCAGGAAAGAAGGGTCAGTGTGACAGTGAGCCTTTGCTGAAGAAACTCTATGACCAGACAGCACTAGGCACAGTGTACACCAGAGGTATGCTGTGAAGCCAACTGCTGAGGAATGTGTATTCCTTTTGCATACAAGACCCATAAGGCCAGGTAGCTCTTGCTGACTTCTGCATGGAAAACACTAAGCTTGCTCCAAAAAATGCTTAGATGAAATTTCAAGACTTGGGTACATAAAGAAACAATGATTTTTAATTTTTTTTTTTCTGCAAAGTTCACAGATTTTGTTCTTATCCATTCCATATGCACAACTGCCTTCTACAGAGTAGTAACTGAACGTTTCAAAAGAGTGATTTACAACATGTGCTGTTTAAAAAAGACATTTAAGTCCTGTCATCTTTTTATAACATTTTCAATTATACAAATAATATGGTCTCTCTATTTTTGCACTAGTTGTACTTGCTACCCAAGGTGCAAAACCTTTATCCATGCAAATCCATGTAAAAGGAAGAAGCACAAAATCGGTCTAATGCCCCTCCTTGTTAAGGAAGATGAACAGAGAGGTAACACAATGGTTTATTCCTAATGTGGACAGAGTGAAAAAAAACCAACAACATTTGGAGTCTTTCTAATAATTCTTATTTTTCTAAGCCCACAGCCATACTGGGAAAAGGTTGTTTTGTAAGCATTTAAAATGACATTATTAAGTGATTGTATAGCAAAGAGGAATGTACATAGCCAAGCACCATCAAGTATCCATTTCTGCAATTACCTAAACACAATGTATAGTTGTGTAAATTACTACAACAGAGAGATATTAACATCCTACCTACCTAACAGTAAACAACAAGCAATGTTTTAAAAATACATGTTCCTGCTAGAACTGTGTGAATGATGCACAGTTCTGAAGCTATAAATTATTTTATGAAAATTTGAGTCCAGAGTTTATTTTCCTCACTTGTACGCTTAGGAAAAAAGCCTAGAAATAGAAGACGAACATTTAAGTATTTTGCAGCAAAGCTGGTGAAGACACCATAGCTCCTTGGCTGAGATAACTGCCTTCATGGACTCCCATAGGTGCTGCAGGAAATGGTGCACCTGCCTCAATACCAACCAGAAGCAGATCAGCTAGCTGAGTTCCTGTTCAGCTATCACATGGTTGATTTATCACACCTGCCTCTACACTTATCCTCATAAAAGTAAACCCATCTCTACCACTGTATCTTGCTTAGCTCCTCACCTTGAGCCAGCCCAGACCTGGGAGCTATGCTATACAACCTTCTTCTGTTAAACTTAAAGGCATTCTTCATGATACACTACCACAAGCACAAGGGTTCCTCAACAAAACCATGCTTATAAACACTTCACCAGACATGGGTGATAAACTTCCAAGTTTTCCTAAGCCTGACTGAATACATTTGCCTTGTATCACTTCCCCTGCATGTGTATATCAATCCAGTGCTTCACAGGTATACCTCTCATGTGGAGCATGAATGTCCAGCAGACTGATATATTTATGCCCCATACAGATCTATTTGTTACTGCTGGTCTCAAGACTTCAAAGGAAAACACTAGAAAATAGATTCACTGACCAGCACAGAACTATCAGCAGAGGTTGATAGTCAACAGAGTCTCAGGTCTGCCATTAAACTAAACAGAAAACAGACAGCAATTAACAACCATGGTACACAACAAACACAGATGGGGAAAAGGCCCCTGAACAGACACACAAGCAACACGGCTTACTGAAAGGCAGGTACAAACTAAAGTTTCCAACTTCCTTCTACTTTTCTGTTAGAAGTCTTAAATTACAGCTCCACTAATATATACATCTAGGTCAGCTTTATTGCATGAGTAATAATCCAAAAAAAAGGTCACAACCAATTGGCAATCAGTAAGTATCACAGAAGCACTAATACTAATTCTTAATTCTAAGATTGGGGGAAAAACAAAAAGAAAAAATACTTCAAGTGTAGCCTGTAGAATTCAAGTTCTTTGAGTGACATGTTCCACTATTAGTCATAATTCCTACAAGACCTGGCTAAACAATGGCTGCTGAAAAAATACCTATCGCTACAACAATTACATTCTTGATGTGTCATTATGACAATATTCAAACAGCAAATTCTACTGCTTTTTTATATCTATGCACAAGGGGAAGATACTACAGGTTGTGAAGGCAGGTAGAGGAAACAAGAATATTATTGAGCAAAAAGAACCTAGAAGAAATTCCTAGAAATACCAGAAATGTGTATTTAGTGTAAGGATACTGATAAGTACTTTTCTTCAGTTATCCATGCTCTATAATTCAGTGGGAAATCTCAAGAAAAAGCCATGACTAGTTATGCCATATAAAGCAGAACACGAGTCTGATGGTACCAGAAAATCCCAAGACCTCTGTCAGCTCAATAAGGTACAGCTTCTCATCAGGTATTCCCCTGTCTTAATTCAAACTTCTTCACAGTTTAGCCTGTTCATGTTTCAATTTTCCCCCACAATTCTGAAGTGATAATATTGCTACCTTTAACCTCCTGCAAGAGAAGGAACATCAAGAAGTGTCTGGACACAGAGGTGAAAAACACTGGAAAGTTTATGCTCTTCTCCAAGATCAACTGTGAACAGTTTTAGATGATGTGTCAGATGTTACTTCTCCTTAAGTTTATTAACAGAGCTATAGCTAACACAAGAGTACTCTGGGTTATAACCAAGTCACCTATAATTTGGGAAGCCATCTTTCCTGAAGAGCATACTTACAGGTCATATGAGAACTTCTTCTGAAGGTTAGTCTGGTTCTTCTGAAACCAGTAAACATCAAGCTGTAACTTTCCATATTCCATCTGTAACTCCTTCAAGTGTTCTGGCCAAATCAGGATTAAAAAACACATTAAAATATACATATACGTACATACTCTACAACAGAAACATCAAGAAATAGATCTATAATAAGAATGCTAAATTAATTCATCTGTCACGCAAACTGTATTTTGTACACAAATGCATAGATAATTGTTGAATTTATTCAACAACAGTGCACGGGATCTGGTAAGAATAACTTTTCAGCATAATATATTACCAAAACAGTATAATACATATTTTTACCTACTTTTCCTCTTAAGGAATACACAAAACTGATTTGCAAACCCTGCTAAGGTGTAATCTGGAAAATCTTGAAGTCTATGAAATCATAATCAGAACACAGTATGAAACAGCATTCACATTTATCAGTCATATACAGACAAGCTTGCAATGCTTCCCTGAATAATATGCAATTTATAGCCATACTCCTTAGCAACAGAAGCATCTGTGATTTAGAGTTTTCTTCTTGATAGAAACTTTTGTGAGAGGACACCAGAAGAAAATACCACAACATACTTACTTCTTTATAGGACTCATTCGCAATAACCTCCAGAGGAATGCATTGCTAATAACAATTCTGAAGCACTACTGTCTTATGTTGCAATGCAAGTTGTAACCAGAAGTATGAATTCCATTACCATCTGTTAAAACCAGCTGGGGCAGTGTTCTTTATCTCTTCCACAACCCATCCTCCCTCCAGGGGGATATCTCCTGTTAATGGGCCAGTGAGTCTCACTGTGTGGCTGATAAAATTACATCATCCCATTGGGAGATGCTCCACCCAGGGGGAGGAGCCAAGCATTCCTACCTGGATATAATCTGAGGCTTGGAACACCACAAGCAGCCTTTTTCCACTGAATTTCCAGAAGACCAGACCCATCTACACCACCCTTCAGAGGAAACTACACAGGATCATTGCTTCAATAGAACCACATCTGTCACTGCAGGAGGTTTGCAGCCACTATTTAATCTGACTGCTACCAATACCCTGACCAACAGGGTGCCAGGTTGTATTCTGATTCTGTCAGTGTTTTTTGTACTACTACAGTTTATTTTAATTTTCCTATTAAATCGTAGGGGTTTTTTTTTTAATTTATTTATACATACTAATAAAAAACTGTTATTCCTCTCTCACATCTTTGCCTGAGAGCCCCTTAGTTTCAAAATTATAATTCAGAGAGAGAGGGTTTACATTTTGCATTCTGAAGGAGCCTCCTGCCTTCCTTAGCAGACACCTGTCTTGCAAACCAAGACAACTACCATGAATAGAAATGTTATTAGATCATTAGATTGGCTTTTCTTATTAAATATAGGACTTGTGAATTCCTCTGATGCTAAAATGCATGACCCCACACCTCATGGAAGAATGCAAGAATATGTTGCCAGGTAAAATGAAGAAAAAATATATTAACTTAGTTCTATTCCATATTATATCATAAGAGTCAGGAGTACTACATCAAGCACTACATGGACAAATCCTCCTTTTCAGGCAGATTAGTCTGACACTTAACAGGAGCTATGCAGATGAAATATCTCAGTCATGGCAGCTCCTGTACTACCCCCCACGACTTGAAGAAAGGCAGGATTCTCAAAAGATCACAGAAGAATGCAAGTCTTAAAAGCAGGGGGCTTAAACATCAGCATGAGGGAGATTTGCAGGGGTACTACAACATACCTCGTAGACTCTGAATCAATCGATCATTTACTGTTATGTTATTCATCAGCACTGCCTGAAAGAAGCAGAACAAAACCAGTGTTTTAATTGCAAAGGACCTGTATTACCATTATAAACAATGCCTATCAAAGCACTTGTAACAAGATTTACTTTTTGTGTGTCACAGTTGTGATAGTGTCACAGTTGAACAAAACCTTTTAGCTGCTTTAGAGATCTCCTATTGGAAACAACAAACATTCATTTTAACACAGATTTTTAAGTAAAGGGGGGTGGGGGAAGATATCACTGCACAAATGAAAAGTGGAAGAACTTTAAGGAATTTAAAGATATTTAGCTTGCTTGTGACTATTCTAATTTAATCTCATGACTGGAGTCACAGTCAGATTTACTGTATTTATCTCTTGAAGGAAGAATGTATCATTCACTATAGCTCACTATCAATTACCCTCTCACTCAGGAATCAATACATTCAGGTACACAAAGATGAGCTATGAAAGCATTAATCATTCAGCATAAAGCAACTCCATGAAAGCAATGTGAAGCCCTTGCATTGTATCCCTTTTCTACCTATCTTCTCAACTGCTTTCATGTTGGAGTGGCCTTCTTCCACTGCCTCACTTTGTTCTCCCTCTCATTCTGAAGAGGTAGTCAACACAGGAACATGTTTTGTCTATTCTTTCATCAAGCTCCCTCTACCATTTCAAATACACACATACCCCAAAACACCTGAAAACTGAATCAAGTTATTTCTAAGTGAAATTATTCCTGTGAGCTAGATGTAAGGATAACTCAGATTCATATTCATTCATTTATCAAGTCTGATGAGGAAGAGTTCTTAAGAATACAAAAGAGATCCACTGATTCTTCTGAAACGACCCAGTCCAATCTTAGGAAGGTATTTGTCATTGTCAGTTCCTCTATTATCTTTGTCCTGGGAAGGGCTCTTCAAGGGTTCCAGAAAATCAATTTCCCTGTTTCTCAAGGTTTCTGCTCTAGTATTGATGTGTGTGTGTATGTCCACACCCAAAAAAAAGTGACAGCATCCACTTGTTTGCTCAAGTCATCCTGAAATACTGACAGCATTGTCAGTGCCTTTCCTCCCAGAGGCTACAGTAATAAGAGCCAGTTGATTAGGTGAAAGTGCAGCTTTCAATAAATCTGAGTGGGCTACCACCCAGCAGAGCAGATTTGTTTTTGGATGACCCTTTAAAGAGCCCTGCTTCACTGAGGTGGTCATTCAGCTCTTGCTAAGTATGTCTACACTGTTCTGTATGTACTGCTGTTCTGTGAAACCTCAAGAAAAAAACATCACGCTCTTCTATTAAAAAGCAAAAAGAAACTCAAAAAACAGTGACAACTTATATGTAGCATTGTTTAATATCTCTCCCTCTCCTTACCTCTCCTCCTACTATAGGACAGGTAAAGAAAAAATCAATTTGTTTTCACTGGTTTACTGGGGAAAGGAAGTTAATGCTTCAGTGGAAATTCCAAGTTTTGCTAACGTGTGGGCAATGTAGTCAGGTCATTACAAGATGATCACCTTCAAGATAATACAGCATTGGCCATTACCAGAGACTGTCAGTGGACTGGAAAAATCAGTATGATAGAGCAATTTTGTAATTTTATGTTTTTACAGTTTTTTTGTGGGGCTTTGTTGGCTTTCGTTCTTTTACTGTCACATAAGTGATCCTGGCATTTAGGAGTTCCATTTTAAGGAGCCCCCCCCAACCCCTCCAGTGTTCCCCCCAGTAAAAACATACAAGTGTTATGTGTTTTGTACATTAGGACAATAATAACTGTGATTAGCTGAAGTGAAAAAAAATACTTTCTAGGTTAAAAAAAAGTCTCTTTGTTTGAAGGGAAACAGGGAAAAGAAGAAGTCTGCCTTGGTCTTTCTGGATTGGATATAAAACTTTCTTTTGGCAATGCCACACCTATCTCCCTTGAATGTGCAGGCAAAAGTCCAGGAAAAAATCTGTTAAATTCTAGTTAGCTGTTTAACTTAAGGAAATACTGTTTAATAATTTACAGCACAGTACTGCAATTACCAGCTTCCAATCTGACTAAGTCAATAATATCAGACCTTCCATTCTTCCTCCTATCATTCAAATGTTAACTAATTTTCACCTTGTGGCTATAAATTAAACAAACATTGTTTCTGGGGTTTTATGCAGGTCAAGAATGAAAACTACTGGGAAGCACTCAGCAGACACATGCCAATACTCAGTTCTAGAAATAAACTCACACTTTAAACTCCATTCAGCCCACAAAACAATAGGTATTATCCCGAGGAGCAAAAAAATCCAGCTTCTGGAAAAACACCCCATCACCATATGAGAATCTGATATTCTGTAATACAGTAACTCTGTAACATTGAACCACCTTATTCTATTTGTAAACATGTTTGCACAGAAGTCCTTATGACTATCAAAGAGGAAAAAAAACCCAGTCTTTTGATTGAAGACAATGCTGTGGAAAAGAGTTTCAGATGCCAGAACTCAAAAGTCACACTTCCATGAGCAGTGTGGGAAACAAATTGCTCCAGCTGTACAGCAATTTTTTTAATGAAGCTGCCAAGGACTTGATTATTATTCACCACAGAACATGTCTACATTCCACTTAAGAAACAAAAAGCTAAAATTACTGTTTAAAAATAATAAAACAGAAATATGCAGAAACATGCATGAGACAGCTTTGTGATACATTATTTTAAGTCTTTGTTTTGACCACATACTTTGAAGTGTGTGCAAAGTGAAGTGCTTCATTCTGATCAAAATTTGCATTTCATCTGAATAATGCCAAACAGTATTCTCCATACACATATTCCTTGAAGGGATTACTACAATGACTCCTCCACCGTTTCCTACAATCAAGAAACAAGCTAACTCAAGCACACTGAACTGTTTGTGGTTCATGTGGAAAGCACATACATACTTTCTAACACTGACTGTATGTGGTGCATGTAAAAGCATAATGAGATATTGCAACCAAAGAAAGAAAATAAATAGTTTGATAGGCATAAACACTAAAACTTAAGAAAAAATGGGGTTTACATTCACAAATATAGCACAAAGGAGACAAAGACAAGCCACAGGATCAGTAACTCTGCTAGTAAGAACAAAACCAACTGCAAATAAAGCAAGACAGGAAGGTAAGATTTATACATGCAGAAACAGCCATTTATAATTTATCAGGGAAAAGCAGGGCACTTATTTCATTATTAACTCAAACTGATTTAAGTCCTTCCAGCAAAGAAAAAGAGCAGTTCTGTCTTGCACACTCCCATGACTCCCCACCACAATGCTGGCATTAGCATGAGAATAATGCTGGAAAAACACTGATGTTTTAGTTACTGCTCAGTGGTGCTTACACTAAGACACTATTGTCCCGTTTCCCATGCTCTGCCAGCCAGCAGGTGCACAAGAAAACAGGAGCAAGCTCTGTCAAGTGTCCCAAACTGGCCAAAGGGACATTCCATACCATAGAACATTGGGACGTAAAGTGGGAGAGTTGGCCAGGAGGCATCGATATCTGCTGGAGGACAAGTTTGGCATCATTCATCAGGTGATAAGCAATTGGATTGTGTATGTCTTGTTTCTCTTGGTTTTTACTCCTCTCAGTTATCAAACTGTTCTTAACATAGAGTTTTCTTCAAAAATCTAGAGGGAGATGTTGGGAGTAAGTGGCTGCATGGTATTTAGTTGCCAGCTGGTGTTAAAAACATGCCAACTAGCCACAAAAAGGCTTTTTGGTTCCAGGCTGAGAGACTAACAGCTAAACTACATATTAGTGTGTGGAGAAAAAGTTCATAAATAAGATTTTTAAGGAAATATTTCTCTTTAAGGTAATCATTTTGCTCCATACTCATGTATACTTCAGTGGAGGCACATCAATTGAAGTAAGTCTTAGAACAAATTTCAAGCTCAAACTGGAGGAGATATTGTTCATTTAAATAAATTTCTCAATAAACCAAATTCTGTTCCGAAATTGCACTTTTCCTCAATAAACCACGCCCCCATTCAACAAAAGAACCCCCAACAAAACCAAACAAACGAACGAATAACCCACACATCCACTAAATCCCAACCCCCCCAGAAAAACCTGTTTCTACAGAGTGGTTCTTCCAAAAATATGGGATTCAACCTTGTTTCACAGCCTCTGCTAAAAGCAATCTAGATTCTGTTTTGTCACAGCAGACATGCACACCATGACAGGATGCAGTTCTGCCTTCAAAGCCACCAAAATTGCAAAGTTAGTTTCTCAAAATTTCAGCACAAGAGGGTGGTATTTGACACACATAAATACAAAATTACTTTTACAGGTACTGGGCAACAGCAAGTAGACTAGAGAAAAAAAATTCCTGTGAAACTACAGGACTTTCACTTTACTGTTATGTTTAACTAAAATTCCAATATTAGGCAATTTAAGCAAAACCAAATAATATGATACCTTCTGACTTTTTGTCCATTCATTTCGCTGTGAAGAGGTAGCAACATTCCAGTAATTTGCTTTAAACTGCTCCTATACTCTAAATTCCTTTTCTCTAGTTCAGCTAGCCTCAAATCATCCTTTTCTTTTCTACCCACCATGTGAAAATATCTTTTGAACAGAGGAGATCTTCTCGATTTCTGCTGAACCAGTTTGAGGAAGCATATTGATTTCTCTTGCTAATTTAGTAATATTGTGCTATGGCCAACATGGGACATGAGGCAGTGCTTTTTTACCTCAAAGCTTTTCCAAAACTAGAAGATACAACACTGTTTGTATTGGAAAAAAAAAAAGCAAAACACATATATCTTTCAGTGAAAAGATACCTTTCTTCTCTCTCCTACACTATAGGAGACTACTGGTGATTCCTTCTGAGAGCTGTTGACTCCCTGCATACTAATAGGTACTTTGTGTGAGAAGGCCGTGCTGGGAATTGAAATTTTCCCAGAGGGAGGGAACCAGAGAGCAGCTGTGGCCAGCATTAAAAGATACTTAACAACAGGACAGTGACATGCTTCACACAGAACATGCAAATCTTGGCCCTTCTCAGTAAAACAAGATTTGGGTTGGAGAAGATTTATGTAAATCCAAAGAAAATTACCAACTGCAAAATCATATTCAAGCACTTAAGAGATATTAAACATGCTGTTTTCCTGTTATGCTGTTCAAAGAGACCTCTGTGGCTACGTACATCCCAGAAGCTATGAGTCCTGAATAACAACCACAGAGAATACTGTTCTTTACAAAATTACTTACAGATTAGAAACAGCTCTTTTGCACACCTGAACTGCTGTTATCAAGTTTTCATGTAAGATTACTTCATCTCATCATTCTATTTCAGTATGGATGTCCAGAAGCCATTTCCTAAATCTACACTAAACCTTAAAAATTCAAGTAGGTTTTTAAAAGTAGACTGGTGAGCTTATGTATGTTTTGTACATACTCAGACCTAAGAAAATAATTACAAAAGCAATCTTCCAGAAGTACACTGCCCCAGTGAATGGTGAGCCCACACAGTTTAACAGGCTCAGACTACCTACCTGCTATGCCCTCATCCTTCAAGTAGCACAGAGACAGTTCCACTACAAAAGTAGGCAGATTTAAGTCAAAGTAATGACTGCACTGCTAGTGACGATGACTTTAGCTTGAAAAACACCTTACTGGTGTTTTGGTATGAAAGTAAATCAGTACTATAATTATTCTGTATTTTATCAGCAGAGTAATAAGACACAGTGAGCAGAGATGAACTGTAATTATGATGGATCTCCAGTGTTACTTGTGAGTTGCTTTTGGTTAGAAGTCTAGATTGTGTAAGTATGCCTCATATGTAAGTTTCTTCTACAGCCAGAAGAACCATAATTTCTTCCTGAAAAAAATGGGAGGTTTGAGATGGACCAATCATTCCTACACAACTGCTGAAATAATATTTATTTTTCTTTAAGAATAACGTGAGAAGAACTATGCAAAATCTCATAACTCAAAGACCTCTAGTTACTTATAGGGTTTGTAAAATGCTTGTAAAATGAGTTGAGAGTCTCAGGATTTGGATTTGCATTAATTCTTCCTGACTAGGTAAATACTAGTTACTAATCCTCACAGAGTAAATAAAATTCAGTTCAAGGAGCTAGCTTCCCATTCTAGAAAGGGTGAATTCATTACTTGCATCCCAGGAATCCCAGATTTGACTGCAATCCATGGAGCCAAAAAACGAGGATATGTGTGTGTATACAAGATATGAACACATTTATACATGGATATAGATACACACACAATAAAAAAAGCACTCAGAATCTGTCTTTTCTTATATTCTACATCCCTCTGTACAATAACCTCTGATCCTAGACAGCTTCTTCCAGTGAAGGGCATTAGTGTGGAGAACGAAGTTCTCTTTTTCTCTCTTTCCTGCCACTGTATCAGAGGCATTCCTGAACTACAGTGGATGAACCCATGCCAACTTGGTTATGTCTTCTTTTGACAAATGCACAGCTTTCCAGAAAAATAGCTCTCCCTACTGCAAAATCAGAGCTGGAAAACAAACATCTCTGAAGGATATTTGTTTGTGTGTCACAAGAAAAGCCAGGTTTTAATTTGATGCAAAATGGTGCACAGGCACACACATGCTCACCCTACCACTTTATGCTCCTGAGAGAGACACATGCTCTTCTCCAGTCACAAAATGCAGAAGACATGAAATTAGTCCAATGTACCACTTTTCTAGGGTATCACTTCCTGGGGTTTCAAAGCAAGCTTTATAGAATATTCCACAACTGTATTTTAGGGTGATAGAGGGAAAAGCACTTAGGAGGAAGGAATTGCTATTAGAGTGGCCCCAAAACCCACCTTTCACAGCATCTCACCTTTAACACTGAACTGCCAAATTGATCCCAAGTCAGCCATAAAGCACAGTATTTTCCAGGCAGCAGCTTCTTCTGTCTGAGGAATACTTGGAAACAGAACAAACACCATGGTACTGGTGGTGGGTTATGTGTTTGTCCAAGTCATCCAGCTGCTTTTTAACCTACACAGACCCACTGTAACTGGGTATTATGGATGCCACACATTTGTGGCTTCACCACCTATTGCATGAAGAGTGACTTGATGATGGCATTTGAAGCACATCAGTGAATGCAGGACAACCCTGTCTTGTCTGTCCCGGCCACGAACATTTTCTGTACTATTTGGAATCCTGGAGATGACTGTGACAGCTCTCCTCTGCTGACTCTTGTCCAGCCTGTAAACCACACTCTGGATTCCTGTAGAAAAATTGCTGCACAGCTTTGGTGACCTTTGCTCTCTATGCCTTTCACAGCATTCCAAAACTCCACTGGTGACCTCCCCACAGTACAACAATTAACTCAGTGTACTTCTAAGCTGCTTTGTAACTTTTGCCTTGTCATTTACCCTTGCAATACCACTGTCTTACCACACGGCTGCATAATATCTCTACAAGCTGTTGCGACTCCAGGTGTGAATGTGTTCACTTATCTCCCTCACCTTTATCACCAACTACTTCAGAAGAAAACTCCAAACTTTTTCAGATGAAAGACTTTCTTTTCCTGAAGCTACTTTGATGCTTCCCCAGATACCACATTCCAGCCCATGTCCAACAGCAATTCTAGTTCTGGAAAATGTGTTTCACTACTTCTCCTGGCACAGATGCCACATTTTATAAAGTCCTCTAGCCTCAAAAACACCACAAGCAAAGTGGGTCGTGTGGTCCCACCTAACATTCGTCTGATGCCAGAAATCTGAAGCAAAAAGGTGGCACAGCATGCTTAGCAGAAGCAATACTTCATTCAGTAAACTTCCTTAAAAATTCTGGACCTTAAAGGTCTTGTTACCATCTCTTAACATCTGCCCATCTTGCTAGACTGTGCTGTAAACTCTCTGGCCAGCCCTTACAGTTTCAGCACGTTTTAGTAACTCTGATGATATCTACTTATGTAAAGGAAGCATAATACTGCATTACATTTGCCCTTTTCTTACCTTTGAATTTTTTTTTCCACTCATGTGTTTTACTCCCTGCAAGACTGAAACAGAACCCAAGAAAATGCCACAGCATCCAGTAGCAACACCCAGTAATAGGAGGCAGAAGTGACAAGATTGATTACTCACTTGAATCCTGCCTGAATATTCTGAGATATCTTTTTTAAAAATGCCTACATTAAAAAAACAAATGGACAAACTATACCTCCTCTTTTTTAAAGTATATGCAAAGACTGAACACAAAGAGAAGAGAGAAATTAACAAGGTAATATGCTTGTCTCAAAAGAGGTAAAATTAATTGGTTTATTATCTCCTTGGAGACTTGGTGTAAAGATTATTTCAAAATAAATTAATGATATATGACAATGATGTGCAGATTCTACCTTCCATTTTTGTTCAATTTTTGTTCCTCTTAATTTTTCTAAAGATAAATCTCATGACATTTTGCTCAGGCAGCATGTTTTGAGAAGCAAACCATTCCTGCACAGTGAGCCTGTTACCTGAAGAGTACCTATTATCATCACAAGATGTGTCTGTTCAGCCTGCTGAATGTAATAATCCTGGAAAGCTGATCTATAAACTTTAGGCAAGAGACTATACAGGACAAACAATTGAATACTCTCAACTAAATACTTCTGCTAATAGGGTGAAAAGTGATATTACTAACAACTCTAAGCAAAGCAGTATCAGCAACACAAGGAAAATAAGGAGCTTTATCCACATTCTTCACAAAGGAATACCATCCCCCTGGCAAAGTTGAACTGTCAGGAGCACTGCCGTGAAAGTCTTACCTTCTCATATCTTCCCAATACTATTGAGTTTTGGAGGCAGAAAGACAAGATACCACAAAATTCATAATACATTTAGAAATAAACATCAACCATTTATGCTTACAAATATATTTGGAAATATATCTCTTGGTGCGTCTTCCTCTTTTTCTTAATTTTTAAAACATTAGTATACAGGAAAGAAAGCAAAGCAACAATCCAAGTATGGTAACGATTTATAGAGAAGATAAGAGTTTTATTCAGAACTGCTGTTACTTGCAGCTTCTAGTATTTCAAAGTTATATGACAAATGCTAAAATGTCCATTCAAGGTCCATTTTCTCAATATCATACAGTCATAAAACATTTTGCCACACCAACATTGACTGTAAGCTGCAACACGTGAGCATCACTTTCTGTTGTAGAGTGTGCCTAGGTAAACCACAGTTTCTTAGAAAACTGTGGCTAGGAAAAGCCCTACCTTCTCTTCCTGATGTACTCTGTTGGCATTTTCCATCTGAAAGCTGTGCAAGGACTGGATTTTGTCAATCTGCTGTCGTTGCTTCTCTAGCTCCCCTTGGAACTCATTCTTTTTTTGCTCCACAGCACCCCTCTCCGCTGCTGCCCTTCGGACTTTGGCTTCCAGATCCAAGACTCGACCCTGAGGAAGAGCAGATTAACCAAAGCAAATAGAAATGCTTCCCCCTTGCCCGCATCTTGTCCAATATATTCAAGGAATAGCAAATTTCACAGCTCTAACAATGCAGATATCATGAAAGTCCTGTATCAGCCAGAGATACTAGTCATACACAGACACACCCACCTCCCTAGTTTTATATAAATTAATGTATGTATTTTGAAGAGACTGTCGAAATTTCAGTTAAAAATTAAGAAAAATGAAATGCTCCATTTTTGAGCTTAAAAAACCCCCAAAACATAAACACAAAAAGATTAAAATCTACTATCTTTCTGAAGTGCAAGGTTAAACAATTTTTTTTATTTAACTCCTATAATTCTGACAGCTCTACACTTCTCAGTATTGACCCTAAACTAACTCAGTGTGAAAATTCACCTCTCAAATCAATCTGATTTACTCCAAGAGCTAGAAAAGAGTAGAGGGAGGACAACACTGCCCAACTTTTATGAACAATTTACAACAATTTATGAACAATTTAATGAACAATTCGCATATGTCTATTACACAAAGACATATATGAGAAAAATTCACTCATAAACAGAAAATAATCATTTTTGACTGCTCAAAGAGCAGCTACAGTCAAAAGAAAATTTAACACCATCACATCCCATAAATAAAAAGACAGAGACATAAGCTAAGGAATCAAGCCTGATGTTTTCACATTCTTTCCTCTTCCCCCCCTCTTCTTTTTTTTAAGTACCAATTAAGTTTTGCAGGACGTCATTTCTAAACATTTTGGATTAAAATTTTTTCTCAGCAGCAACTAGAAATACAAAAACATGCAGGGTGGTGGGGATATCAACATAATCTATCCACATGAAAAAAGACTGATTCCAGGTGGCTTAAAAATTAGATATAATAAAAACTGTGCATTTTCCAAGACTGCAAGAAAATGTACCAAATCTTCTTATAACACAGTATGTAGTATATCATGACCCACCTACCCTGCTTCTCTGCCACAGAACGCAAGAGAAGGGAGAGGAGAAAGAGAGAAAAAAAAAAAAAAAGGGAAAATGACTTGCAGTTTAGCTGGAATAGCAAGGAAAAGTAGTCATTCCATGTCAGTCATAACAGCTGCAAAGTCTTGCTACTAAACAAATAAACGGGTCTACAAAGTGCTTTAGAAGCTCCGTCCATGTTCGGCTATGCTTTTATTCCATTCAGAGTGCGAGACCATGCAGAAGTGACATAATTTTCAGGCTAACTTTGAAGAAATGTACAAAATGTACATCAGTAATATCAGCAGACCTTGTGTCTCTAGGTTCTTGAGACCAAGATGAACTAGAATGGTGGCATATTTTTCTCACCATCAGCTGCTTCATTGCTGTGCAGCAAAACTTCAGCGGTACTGACAGAGTTACTACCCACTGGTAGCCACCACCCTGAGGCCACTGACTAAAGGGAAAGCAAGGGATGACCAGAGTCTCAGAAGTCTTAAGACATAGCCTTAACCACATAGCCAGACACATGGGTCCTGTTTGAACAACGCCTGTTCTGAGGTGAAACAGGAGTTCAACTCCTTCAGCTGTCCCCTCAGGACTAAAATTTGGCTCAGCTACAGAAAGCATATGGATTCACTGGATAAATTGGGAAGGAGCTCTCATCAGCCATGTTTAACCATGTTTAACCAACATGTCATTAGTTTTTAGGTTAGCTTGTTAAAAACAATAACAAAGAAAAGACTAAAAAAGAAGTAAAAGAAAACAGAAAAAAACCCCTGTCCTGCAGAAATGGTCACAAACCAGAAACTGACTCACATACCTTATATCAGAACAAACGCTCAAGAAAGGATTAAAACCCAAGCTCAACAGACAAAAAAATGCAGTTATCATCAAAAAAATATAGTTATCATCAGACAAGGTAATTATTACATGTGACTTGCATGTCCTTCTTCAGAAAGATCACTAAGAAACACAAATTCAGTTTTTGTTTCTGAACAACCCAGATTTCCCTGTACTGAGTAGGAAAGTATGCATACAATGCTATGGTTCATTTACAGAGACAAATCTAGGGATATGAGTTTTGACTGGGATAGAGTTAATTTTCTTCACAGTCACTGGTATGGGGCTCTGTTTTGTTCATTTGTAATGAACACAGGTTTGATAACATAAATGTTTTTGGTATTGCTGAGCAGGGCTTGCAAAAGCCAAGGCCTTTTCTGCTTTGTGTACTGCCACAATGGCAAGGAAGTTGGGTGTACTTGAGAGGCTGGAAGGGGACAAAAACCAGAGGATGGCATTTGTTACATCTTTAATGTGAAACAGCACAAGACAGCTCAATGCTTTGTGAGAGCAGAAGCAACAAGTATCACACATGCAGGCATGTTCAAGTTTTGGATTCTTCCTGTTCCCCCAGTCTCCCACTACTGATAAGCAACAACTGTAAAATCTGTGAAAGTTCCTACAACAAGCTGAAGTTCCTGACTTGCCACATGAAGGAGAATCATCCTTTTTGTGAGCTACATTTATTACTTGCACAAGTACGAAGTGACACGCAGCACAAAAGGAAAGTTACCTGCAGATCCATGCTGCGAGAACTTGCAATCCAGTAATTGAAACCCAAAACAATTAGGCACGCCACGAGGGCAGCCATGAGGAGTGGTGGAGACTTCATCCCACGACAGCTGTTTCCTAGTCCTGCCATTTCAAGAAAAGAACAAATCCAGAGAACCACAGCAAGTATGGAAACCTGCAAATTAAAAAGGGCACATTACACTGCATCCCCAACTACAGCTATTTTGTACACACAATAAAACTTTCCTTGCAATGCAACAGCTGTCAGCTGACAGGCTTACGCCCAGCAAGGAAGGTAAATGAATTAGTTTTGTCTATATATTTCCATCTGAAAGACAAAGAAAGGTCATCGCACACTATTAGGTTGTGCATAAAGCTTCCCATGGTTGATGCAGTCGATTAAAACACACATAGAGACATGCACAAATTTCCAGTAGAAAGCTATGAATTGCACAAACACATACATCTTGCACAGGCTATTTTCTTAATGTCATTCTAGGAGTACCTTACAAGTACAGAGCAACCATATCTTACACATGATCCCTGAAAAACAAAACCCCCAGATCTCCAGAGTAGTAAAAATGAGAGCACAAAGGGCATGATTAGCACTGCCATCCCAACAAAGAACAAGAGAATTGATTTACTTTTGTGAACCCAGATAAAATAGTGTATTTCAAAAAAGGTCTGTCAGAACCCGTCATGATGTCATCTGTATCCTGTTCCTTACCATAAGAGTATTGGTAGGTACACTTGACACATGGAAAAACTACAAACATAGCACTGCAAGATGCAGCGATTCATATCAAGTGTGACTTGAATAAAATAACTGGTATTTTCCTCATAGCTGTCAAAAATAGGGAAAATGGTTCATATTATCAGTAGTAACAGCTTGCACTGTAATTTATCTACTAGATAAATATATGGGACTAGCTGCTTAGCTCAAAAATTTTCAGAGGTAAAGCAGCTACACTGTTCAAAGAAAGAATAATTACTTCACCATGCAGCTTGAAGCGCAGGCACAAAACCATCACCTAGATAGCACACAAATCTGCAGCATCAGCATCTTTTCTGCTGCTTTCAGCTGTTAAAAACAAACAGGCAAATAATTGCTTATTTCACTAATGCATGTTTGACTTCAGTATATTGCTCTTTCTAGAAAAGCCAGTGTTGTTTGCCCTTAAATAATTTATATTAATTAAGAATGTATTTTTATACTGAACAGAAGGAAAAGGAAAAGCATGAAAGACACAAAAGAATCTTCAATTTGCCTATTCCAGACCCAAAACTTTACCTCAGTTGCAATAGCGATATTCCCTCTTTCATCAGTTTAACTTTCTGACATGAATATACAGACTCTAATATTTTGGAGGAGAGATAAGCAAATTGGCTCAATAAGCACATTTACATGAAAATCTCTTTGTACATGCTGTTTTCCAGGAAACATCTGGTCTGGCACAGTTATTTGAGTTGAATTTAAAATAAGTTTCTGATTTTATGGATAAGAAAGTAATTTTACTGAAGATGAAATTCAACAATATCCATGGCAGATGAAAAAATAAGCATATACGTAAAATTTCTGACTTCTGAACTGCACATTTCATCCTCCTAGTGGTGCTTCATTGAGAGAGATGTTTTAGACTCTTGAGATATTCATGGCAATCAACATACAGGATACTTTTACTTCCCACAGTAAGTAATTCTTTTCATTTACTGTATTCAGTGGAAGTAGGATATATGGTATCCACCAGTGTTCCAGTACAGATAAGCAACAACGTTGCTAACGAAGCCTCAAGACAAACACACTAGGGGTGAAGACAAAACAAAATGGTGCATTTCAGACTTGCCAGAAGGAAAACAAACTATCTCTGATCACCAGGTTCATCTCCATAAGACCAGCCACTGAAAAGTAAAGGCACAGCTTCCTGGAGGTCTGAGTACTTGCAACTCTGAGTAAGGAAAAAACCTTACTTAAAACCCCTGCAAAAAGTGGAGCCACAAGCAGAGGCAAGAGATAAGACAGAGGAAGAGAAAAGAGATAAGAGATAAGAAAAGAGACAAGAAATAAGATATAAGGAAGAAAAAAAAAAAAAAAAGCCCCAACAAGGACCTAAGGGCTAACACACGGAACAGAGATCACACATCCCAACCAGACTGGACCAGAATGGGGGAACCTAATCCCAACAAGGGAGCCCCTCAGACAGTGGTGCTATCGTCACCAATTGCAGATTCTTTCCCAACCTCCAAGTGAGCTTCTGGAAGAAATCACAGGTTTGTTTTTTTTTTCAGATATTATCATGTAATTCCTACCTCAGATAGCTTGAATTAAAGCATACTGGATTAACCAAGCAAGTTAATCAGAACTTCTTCCATTGACAAGCTAGTTAGTTTATACCCAGATACAGCTAAATCAGATTAGAACATATTAGAACTTGGGTTTTATTTTAAATGAAATTGGAAACATAAGCAATTCTTTAAAAAGTGAATCAGAGAGCAAACACTTGCATACCCAGTCTTCAAAAAAAAAAAAGGTACCATTTTTTGGGTGGGTGGAACTGGACTGCAGAAAAAAATGAGTCAAAACCTTTCAGTTTTCACTTTATAAATGGTTAATACACAGTAGTGATTATCTTTAAAAGATAAATCCAGTTGGTTTTTACTTACAGCAGGATCTTACTTGCAAGTACACTATTCATAGTCCCATGGTGAGAACAAGCTATAGCCAGCAGCAACCTTTATGTTTACAAAGCTGCACAGACTGAACATAGGGGTCAAGGAACTGCACACTGCCACAAAGCAGAGCATACAGATTTCTTACCATCCTCTGCAGCACCACTGTCTGAGGGTGGTTTTCCTTTTCAAATTTGCAAGTCAAAAGAGGTCAAATAAATATTTTTTTTAATGGAGATTTAAAGTTTGTGCACTGAACTCAAGATTGCTGACCACAAACTTTCTATATGCCTTTCACAGGGATTTACACACTGCAAGAAAAAAAGAAGGAAAAAACACCCTAAACATTCAGCAACAGCCACTATTCAAACTTTTATACTTTGGATGAATGTCACGGAATCACTATTTACCCAAGTTATCAAGTTACATGTTTTACAGGAAAGGAAGGACATTTTCATCACAACACATTCAGCAATTTCACTCTCATCCTGCTCAGAAATAACCATTTGGCAGTCAATTCAGGTCTCAGGTCTTCCTTTTCTAATGCATTTAAAATTAGAAGTAACAGATCAGAAGAATATGAAATCCCTAAAAATGTACTATCTGTCCAAGGACAGAGTCACTGTTACCACTTGTTCATTAATCATATTTCAGCCTAAGAAATCTCTCATCTTTCAAATGACTACTTTACAAGAAGCTAATAACCAAACACCCTCAATGCCCTTTATTTGACTAAAGAGAATTTCCAAACAGGTATGCGGCAAAACAGACGCTAGAGGTTTAAGGTATGTATCTATCCCAATGACAGAAGTTAGCTAACTAAAAATGTTCTAGAATACCTGGACATGTTGCCTAAGTGTACTTTCAGATAATAGTATTAACACTATAATACCGTGTACGAAAACAAAACTAAATAAGAAAACTTATACACCAGAACTATCTCAAGAGTTAGTCAGACTGCTCAGTTATTTTTATGAATATAATTTGTTGCTGGTATTTTTCCCATACAATATGCTTTTCAAGATCACAATTAATAGGACACCCACTTATCTTAAATGAAGATAATGAAACAGAGTACAGTAAATTTAGATATGTGATGAGAAACTCAGTAAATTGCTACCATTTCCCCACCACTGCAAAACTACACATGGAGTTTGACTGTAAAACATGCAGACCTCTAAGTAGGAGATAAAAGAATTTCAGCTTTAGAAATAGTTCTTTAAGAGCAAAGTGCTGTTAAGATGTAAGATGAAAGGCCGTTCAAAAAAAAGTCAATTCAAGAGCAAGATTTTCTAAAATCCTGATCAACTCCTTCTATCTTCATGCTGACAAGGGAATCCAAGGAAGTAAAACAAGGCAAACCTGCGTGCAGGCGATAAACACAGCGCCCGCTGTGTACCCAACAGCGGAACTAAAGTTTCTGAAGTGGTGATGGTAATACTTTTCCAAGCAGAGGCGGGAAAGCCTCTCAAGGTACGAACTTTTGAAAAGCCATCAGTCCCCCGAGCAGCGGCAGGGCCCCCGCAGCCCTGCCCACAGGGAGGGCAAGCAGGGAGCAGGCTGCCCAGGGCTCGTCGGAAGGAGGGACAGGATGATGAGCAGACTCAGGTCACCGCCCGGGCTGCGACAGACCACGGAAGGCCACCTAGTCCGACTTTTCCCGGGAAGAGTAGCCGGGAGGACGTACCTCACACGTGCATTGATTTCTAACGTTACTATTTTTACCTCAGCTGCGAATACTCAAAAGATGTTTCCGTCTCAAGACCTTCAATAGGGAAGGCTGGCTGAAGAAACAAGAAAATGCTATCAGTGTCCGGCAAGCATGCCAGCCTAAGCCCTGGCAAGCCGGCCCCGTACCTCTGCGAGCGTCGGCGAGCGGGAAGTGCCCGCGGG